GATGCGCATTTTTTTCAACAAAAACTTTTTATACAGGGTGTGTGTCATGTACCAATCAACGTGCCCGAGTGTTTTTTCGAACACGCCCCATTTATTTATTGAATTTATTCCATTTGGCTGATACACACTGTACCTACTATATGTACCTCCCTAAAGTTTGAAACATAGGTAATTAATTACTCATCGTGTATTATAATATTCAAATTTCTTCAAGACAATATTTAAGAAGATATCTAAAAAATTTATTACATGAAATTAACTGATTATTGTTACACCACAATAATTCAAAGGTCGAAGTAATAATTATATTACGTATCAAGGTTAAAATTGGTTTTAAAGTAGGTACCTACTTATTTTTATTGTATTCGTCATAGCTACGTTAGATTGCCTTTTTAGTTTTATTGGTTAGGTACATCATTATTTTATTTTGAATTTTGTCGTTATAAATCACTATAATTTATAATTAATATTTTTTATATACTCAATCAAGAAAATTTGCCCCTCATAGCAACTACATAACCTCTCAATGGCGGGGGCCCATACCCACTTAATCGTCCAAATAATATCACGCTATTGATAATACCTGCAAAGTAATTAATTAATATAATACGCCGAGAAAAGTTAATTACACATTTTTATATACGCTTATCTAGGTCTTTTTATAACTTGTAACAACAGAACTTGCATTATAATTGAACCTTATCATTTTAAATAGGTACCCACTTCTACATACATATACAGAGTGCTACGTAATGATTAGGCCATAGAGTAACTATAGATTCTAGGCATGAAAATAATGAGATTTATAGCCAAATACGCATTAATAAAATATTGCTCGTTTAAGAGATACAAGATTGATTTTAGATTTATTTATTATAAATTTTATTTTATTGTTGTAAATTTGTTGTTGTTTGGATAAAATAAATGTTTGTTGGATAATAATCGGCAGAGCCCACTTTAGTGTGTTAGTTAAAGGAATCATGTCGTCAGCAGTGGTCAGAGAGTTCGCTTATATTAAAAATGGTTCGAGTACGAATATTATGAAGCTGGGGAGATTTAACGATATCAAACAAGTACCTAGGTATACATTTTTCCTTTAATTAATCAGATTTTATATTCAAAATTGCGATAGACGGTTGCATAAAAAAATACTATAGTAGGTATTTTTTATATAAAAAAATATATTTATAAAAACTGGTTATTTTCTCTAAAACTAAAATTTATGAAATAAATAATTACATCTAAATTCAATTTATCAATGTATCTATTAAACAGGCAATATTTTGTTAAGCCATATTTAGTTAAATCTCATTATTTTCATGCCTAGAATCTATAGTTACTCATCTATATACTCTATAGCCTAATCGTTACGGACCACCCTGTATGTATTGGCTAGTGTAAAAATTTTTAAAAATTTCCTTTAATTGCGCACATATTTCGATACACACGCAAGGGCATAATGTACTGATAATTAACTTTGTATTGTTATTACGTAAAATTAAATGTACATATTTATTTTTAGTGTCAATATTAGCCTACGGACTTATATTTGAGTTATAAGAAAGCCACATCATACATTTTCAATAATACACGTCACCGTTTACGCCAAGGTTAAACTAAAGGGAGGTATACTGTATAGTACCAGAGATTATTCACTTGAATTGGCCGTTAGGCAGGGTAAGGGAATAATCACAGACTTCTCTAAGTCTACGTATATTATTAGAATTAGATAAGTCTGTGGAAGTAATACATTTTTAATTTTTTATTGCCTTAAAACATGCTATATTTTGTCGAGTCTAGTTAGGAAATAAATCAATTATAGGGTATATCACTAAATATTCGGGGTTGTATTGTAATACAGGGTGTAACAAAATCGACAATTTGAGGATGCCTATATATACATGCGAGTACCTATTTATTTACTCATATATTATGCCTATACCTATAGAAAAATAATAGGAGCCACACGACGATTATTTTTTTTCTAAAGTTCTTTAATAAAGGCGGCGAGTTTACTACAGATATATGTGTGGTTCGACAAGGTAATAAACAATAATACATAAACAGAACAAATATATTTATTATTATAAACTAAGTAAATGTCAATAGCAAATGCTGGATAAACTAGCTGTAGTCCCTCATCTCATAAACTCAAAAATGTACTTAACACATCACTACAAACCGCAATGATGGCTGATGATGTTCCGTTGGTTTCCCAGTTCAGCACTGTCAAGTAGTAAAATAAAATGGCCCCTCCACCCCCAATTCTGGAAACCACTCAATTAACTGCAGGGACCTCATAACTCTTGATTACGGACTGAAAAATCTTCAGTCAACCCACTCAAATAACTGCAGGAATGCAATGAAAATCTCTCGTCATGTTTAAAACAAAACATTGAAAGCTTCCTTTTTTTCAACGCCTTCTATTTTAACCAACTACCCGCACTGTACATACCCTCAACTACTTTACATAGTCTGTCCAACACTATATTTATGTATACCTAATACATATTCAGGGGTGGCGCAGTACAAAATGTTGTTTACAAAAAGGGCAAGACAATTTGCTTTAACTGTTGCTGCATTTTCTAAAAAGGGGTCGAATTTGAAATATCTATAGTTCTATCTTAGAATTTAATTAGACTATACAAGTAACATAGAGTGATACGAGGCACAAGATACGAAAAGCAAATGTGTAAGCGACAAGTGCACGCATCTACACTACAATAAGTACAAGTACAGGCAGTCCTCGAGTTACATCGAACATTTTAACACGTCCTCAATCTGTCAATGGTTGCGAGATATGTCATGGGCTACTTCACACTATTTTTAAGGAACATGATCCAAATTTTGAAAGTTCTATTACTTCCTGTCAGTGTTATCGCAAAATGTATGAAAACAATAAAAATGAAGCGAAACAAACTTGAGTTGATAACGTTTTTTTTAAACCAATAGTTTAGTTTTTAATATAGTTCTATTCTTTCAATTGTGCAATAAGTATGTACCAAATACAGGGTTTGCTTTATAAAGTATGGTTATTTAATATTAATTTGTAGTTTTTTACATGTTCTGATAGATTTAACGTCGTTTCGACTTGTCTTATATTTTGAGAACTGAACATGCTGTAAGTACAAGGACTGCCTGTACATTTAAATTCTATTCACAAATTGTATTTATTTTGTGTTAGGAAGTTAACATCGATTGTCGAATAAAATGTAAGAGTTCTCTTGGACTGCTGGTAGATAACAAAGACCAATTTACCATAATAGAGATAAAGTATATTCACGAAATATTTCAATTTTCTTTTTAATTTCTCTCTATAATCTGTGTTATACACTTAGATTAATGATACCTACCTTTGTAAACCTGAAGATCTTCACAAAAGGTAGAAACACCATGCCGATACAACCTCATAATTTAGACACAAATACAAATGATCATCTATCCCAGCACGATAAACGAAAGAAGTACCTTGCTTTATACTTACTCGTCTCTTTCGATATTTACCCAACAAAATAATGTCACTTTTTCTTATTCCCAATGTATTATTGCAGTTGTTTTAATATGAAGTGGATACAAGACCTTTTTTTATTAAATACTGCTTATTAAAATATCACACTATATAGGGTGTTTTTTTCGATGTTTAGTGTAATGATCTGGGAAAGTAGCAAACATCATGGCCGACTAGATATTTGGAAATATACAAATTTAGGCAATTCCTTCAGATGCGTGTAGCTCCGTTGCTATTTATTTTACAAAAATATTTTAATTTACTTCATTCTCAAGTTATATCAAATTTCAAGTTTTTTAAATATAAACCATAGCACATATTACTAAACCATAGTTAGCTATGAACTAGAAAAAATTGTCTTTTTTTATGCTTTCCAATGATATAATATTCAGTATTTTGAAAAATGGGGAAATTGCAGACTGCAGCCATTTTTAACATTTCAAATGCTAGTTGATGTAGATGGCTGTGAAAACAATCGAAATATTTACTGACGCTTTTAGTTACTGTAGCTTTATTTGAGTTACTTTATTTTCTTGAAAGTCGTTTCTATTTCCAGACAATGAATTTTTCAAACAAAGAAAAGCGTGTTATTTAGCGTTACATTCGTTCAGGGAGCTTTTGACAATATCGATACGCGTTCTGTGAAAAAAGCCTCAAATTCCGTTTCAAAAAGATGTATTTTATGCATTATTAATAACAACGCTGGGGTTTTGAACAATTTCAGTCTTAAAGCAAATAATGGTTTGTTCATAAAATTCTTATTTTTTGCGTCTTAAGTACTTCATTTATACTTACCACAAATGATTTCCATCATTATAATTTAAATTCCGATGCTCTCACAGATAAAGAAATGGGCATGCAATTGATCCGATTTGATCCATTGGATTGCGGATAATTTTCAGCCATCTTTGTCAACAAACAATTGAAAAGTTAAAAACAGCTATGATTCTTCCATTTTTCAAAATAATAGCAAATATCGTTAGAAAGCATAAAAAATAAATTTTTTTCTAGCTCATAGCTATGATTACTCTTAAAAAACTTGAAGTTTATAACTTGAAAACGAAAGTGTACACGAACAATTTTATCACACCGTCTTATTAACACTGCCAAAAAATAGCAAAGGAGCTATACGCACTTGAAAGAATTGAAGTTTTTTCAAAAAAAAATAAAAGTAACATTTAATAAGGATCATAAAACCGCACATTTTTCATCATTTAAGCATTTCTGAATCTGCTACTTTCCTAGATCCCTACACTAAACATCGAAAAAATCCTACCCTGTATAAGGGTTTTTGTTTTTGGCATTTTTCTTAAATTATACTTACATCCCTAATCCACGAGGTTTTCCATGTTCGCCTCATTCTACCGATTGGTAGTTAGCACTAACCGTGTTGTTCCTGGGTGCACCTGCGATCTACTGAATATGCCGCCTCCTTTCTCACATACATCCTATACATTTTTCATATTTCCGAAAACAAATAGTTAGAAAAAAAGAAAATTAAAACTTTTATTACCGTTGAACAAAAATCAACTTAATTACAAAAATCTAACTACATACAAAAAATACAGTCATATTCGTTAATTATAATTAAAACATTTAAAATGCACTATTTAACTTCAATACGGTCTGGGCCTTCCACCATCTCTGCCGCCGCCGTCACGACCACCGCCGCCTCCTCTGAAAAATACAAAAACAAATATTTCCGATTCAAGCTTGAACAGGGACAGGAAAGTTTTTAGATAGTGACATATTTGACGTGTTTCTCCAGACAGGATACTCTTAAAACCACTGTGGTCGGTTATAGAGAGTTTTAATAGAGGATTTGATATGTCCCCAACATAAAATCAAAAGAAACTACAAAGAAGCTTCTCCGAGAGCGGTTGGGGACAAAATATAACAATAATTATATATCGCCGATTTATTCAAAGAACACATTTTTTTATTGCACATCTAATTTTGATAAATTATTCATTTTTGAAATTAATATTTGTTAAAACGTATATTTTGTCAACACCTATGAATCGAACTTGGCATTAAGAAATCACATGTTCCTTTCACACATTTTTTTTTTCAATTTAATTTTAATTTTTTAGTAAAAAATATTATTTTACCGAAATTGGTAAGCAATAATCAAGTTTTCAGTACACAGAACCGGGAGCGCTCGTCTAATTTTCCCTAAGCAGTGAGCATGGCAAAAAATATTACGAGTGTTTTTAAAAAATTAATATTTTTTGCAGGATTTATTAAATATTATCTGATATTACTATGTGCACAGGCTTAGAAGTAAAACTATTTGAGGAAATATAATTATTTTTGTTTTTACAAAAAGTACATAAAAAATAAAAATTTTAATCCAGACATACTTGAAATAATTTTTTTAAAGCACTGTGTTTAGTTTGTGAATCACAGTTTCAATGACCAGTAACGATAAACTTGTTTAAGTGAACTACAAAATATCAATCCACCTGATCAGATACAACAGGGCATTAGGAAACGAAAATGGTAAAATCATCGGCACTTTATTTTATTTATTTTAGCTTTTAGTTTATCAATTTACGAGGTTTTTGTAATGTGGTAGATAATTTCGCGATTTTCTGCGTGAAGTATTAGATTTTAGTAGAGTTAAAATAGAATATGTATAATGATGTTTTATCAAGTTATAATTAATTTCAATGTTTGGTGACAGTCTGATGTGTTTGTATGCATTAATTGTTAAAGAAATGATGTTTTCACAATTAAATTAGAGAAAACAAAATTATATATTTCCAAACACCAAAGACAGCCTCCATTCAAAGTTACACCTTGTAAATGGCCAGAAATCTTACCTTCCGCCTCCACGGCCGCCACCAAATCCTCTGCCGCCGCCGCGACCGCCGAAACCGCCACCACGGCCTCCTCTGTCGCCGCCCCTGAAACCGCCGCCGCCGCCGCGTCTATCTCTGCCTCCGTCGCGGTCGCCGCCTCGACCACCACCACCTCGCCTGTCATCGTCGCTACTGCCGCCGCCGCCACCTTCCGGTTTGTTTTCACTGCACCTATTACACTGGTTTCTCCAGGCGAAGTTCGTGTTGCCACAATCGGGATTCGGACACTTCCAGTCTCCTTCGCGGGACTCACGGTCGCGACCACCGCCGCCGCCGCCACCGCCACCACCGTGGCCTACAATGTGGACAGAATTATTCATTTGTCTACTTTTGCAAGTGTCAAAGAATTACTCACCACCGTCCCGTCCTCGGGGTCCACCAAATCCGCCGCCTCCACCTCTGGGTCCGCCGCCGCCGCCGCCCCCACCACCACCACCACCTCTGGGTCCACCACGTCCACCGCCCTGGCTCCAATTGTCTTTCTTTGTAGCGAGTTGGACTTTGATGACTGATCCACGGAAATCTTTACCGTCGAACCAAGAAATGGCAGATTGAGCAGCGTTAGCATCGTCGTAGGTCACCGTGGCCTCCCCTTTGGATTGCCCGGTGGTTTTGTCTTTGTACAGCCAGATTTTGCGCTTCTGTGTCCTCTTGTCCATCTTAAGAAAAAAATAAAAGGGTGATTTCCCCCAGAAAAAAAAATTAATGCAAAACTACTGGTGCTACTGTTTTCACACAAACATTTGCTTGTTGTTCTCCGACGTTCTAAGTAAATATGATTAAATTTTTTGGATTATTACTAGTTACATTTACTAAAAGAAATAGTAAAAGTTAAAGATGAAATATTTATATTACTTACAGTCGCAGTATCATGTTACAGAACTGTACAATAAATGGCATAGAATTTTTTTATTTTCTAAGGGAATATGTACTGCCTAAAAAAAATATATTAAAATTTCTACATCAATGATTTTTTAAACAGACAAATTAAGTTGTATCTAAAATTGTATTTCTAATAAAAAATTCTTATAAACTATTTATGTGAAATGAAGTTTTGCTTTGTTTTCGATTTACTTAAGTACAGTTTAATATAATAAAAAAATAAGGAAATGTAAGACTTCTTTCCTTTTTACATTGACAATATATTCATCAATAAATTGACGAAGTTCTTCATCAATTAATTGACGAATTTATTGATAAACAGTGTGGTTTTACACTGCCACGGACTTTGTCAAGTTTTTGATGTATGAATCAGTTCTATCAATGAATCAAAGCAAATAAATTTCAAAAATGTCACCTTTCCACTCATAATTGTAGTGATAAAACAGCGGTACCGTTCTGACACATATTGGGTTGGTGCTTCCGAAGTTCACGAAGAAATTGACGAAAATTAGAACATGCTCTAATTCCTCAAGAACTTGATGAATAAATTGATGAAGTTATTTGACAGCTGATTTGGTGCATTACACTTGTCCAATTTCTTGATGAAGCGACTTCATCAATTAATTGATCAATAAATTGTCAATGTAAAACAGCTATTAGAAATTCGATTGGTAATAAAAAGCACTAATCGAATTTGCAAAGTTCTCACTGGCGTCAAAATTCTCCCTCATATCTCTGCCACTGGTTAACATATTTTTATGTTTTTACTTCTACTTAGATAAATCAGTGACCCAAATTTCATTAATTCCTAGATATTTAAGAAAATGTGATTTTTTTTTTAAATTTCAACAAGCTGTATCTCAAAATCGAAACGAGCTCTTAGGCCAACCAATACAGTGAAAAAAGAGGCTGTTTTTACACTTAAATATTACAGTATTTCCTTTTGAAAAATACTTAGTAAATGAAAACCCCAGCAAAGTCGCGATCAATTTTTTTTAAACAATTAAAACTACAAATGACACTTTTTTGTTTCTTTATAATATGTATCTCGCAAAATAATGATGGAATCGTCTTACTCTCAATAGGACTTTTGTAGAGAATGAAAAAACCTTTAAAATGGTTTTTTTTGTACGATCCGATCAGTTCATTTTTCACAGAGATAATCCGGAGAAACCTCTAAAATAGACCTTTTTTAAAAAATTCATAACTAAGTCAAATTTGAAGCTGAAAAAATACTATTTCGAAAGATGACAGATAATAATGTAATATTGTGTGCAAGATGGTTTCTGTCCTATGCATAGTTTTTGCACAATTGCATTAAAAACAAATTAGGGTCTCTTTTTTTGCACAGCGTGGCGATTTATCAAAAATTGTCCAATTTAAATTCTGAAAATGGCATCTGCAACTAGACGACAAAATCTCCAATTTCTATATCTCAGATTTTCGCCTGGGTGATGGGAAATATGCTAAAAATACCCTTAAAAGTCACCCGAAGGTATGTTCGAGCCAGAGTCTTCCGCTCGCTTCTCCCACTACCGCTACTCGACTCTGGCTCGAGCGTACTTTCAACTGTTTCAGGCAACATTCAAAGACATTTTTAGTCCCATCCCATCACCCAGGAGAAAATCCGAAATATACAAATTATAGATTTTGTCATCTGCTTTCAGATGCCATTTTCAGAATTTAAATCGAACCATTTTTGACAAATCCGATTCTGATTATTTCTGTAAAAAATGAACCGATCGGGTTGCACAAAAAAACCATTTTATAGGTTCTTTATTCTCTATAAAAGTCCTACTGAGAGTAAAACGATTCCATCATTATTTTTCGAGATATCATAAAAAAAACCAAAAAAATTTAATTTTTTGCAGTTTTCATTGATTAAAAAAAATGTTCATAACTGCTGGGGAAATCACTTGGGTTTTCATTTACTAAAGTATTTTTCAAAAGGAAATATATGAAATTTGCTGTAATGTTTAAGTGTGCCCAAAAACTCCCTATTGGTTGGCATATATGACCCACATCCGTACAAAACTTTTTGCATAAAATTATAATCATTCGTTAAAAGGGATGCCATTATTTATTTAACACCCTGTATTGACAAAATAATGGATGTGTAAATAAAAGATTTGCAATTTACAATACCGACTGAATTTTAACGACTAATAATTTTAGTACCCTATTAAAAATTAACTGCACAAATCATTATGACTATAAAATTAACACGATTAATCGTTATTCATAATTAGGCATAATCGCCTGTTTGGATTCAATAAATAAGTAAAAAATCGACATGTCCACCAGGACTTTCGAGCATTGCTATCACTGTTACAGAATGGAAACTCATTTGACAATAAATGGTCAAACGAGGAATAGTATCTGTGTTTATATAGCGGAACTTCAAAATTGGTCTTGAACGTTTATAAATTCAAGCACAGAGTGCAGTCCGCAATTTTTTTTTTTTACCTAAATAAAACCAACTTACCTTGATGATTCCAATAGAACCAAAATGGTTAGCAATGTCATCTTCGTTCAAATCGGGATTCATTCCAGACACAAATATCGTATCTACTTGGATTACTAGGTTACCACCATCTCCTGTAAATCAATCGTTATGTTAAAGCAAAAACAATAAAGGTTTTTCTCAAGATGCTACCGACTAATTCAAAGAAGTGTCTATTACAATCTGTTTTATTTTTTACATAATCTGTTCTTTTTTCTTATAAGCGCAACTTATAAACCTTTTGTATTTTTGACAAAAAAATATTACTTTATACAATCGTAATATCCAATATAAACTTCGTCCAATCATATCATCAATTGATAATTCACTATTAACACCTTTTTACTACAACACTATTTTTTTTTATGTAAGTTTATTACATTTATTATTATTATATTCTTTAAAAGCTGCAGCATAAATAAATTGCAGATATTTTATGCACTACCACATTATTCTCAGTTATTATTTTTAATATGAATTCCAGGACATACAAATTAGTAGGCAATATCTTACTACATTTTGAGTAATACCAGTTTACTTGAAATTTTTATTAAATTATTTTTTGAGCACCATTTTTATAAACCCTTTTTAGATTTATGACATCAAAACAGATCGAATGTCATTTAAAATAGGTGTACCACATAACTTTTTAATTTTCATATGAATAATATATAACTCAAAGTCCTGACAACACCTAGCAGTGCTCATATCGATTAGTAAATATTTAATAAATATTTACTAAGGGGGGTAGATGAAAGTTGGGAAATTTATAAAATAGTAGGTAGTTCTTATACTACTAGTTACACAATATTACTAAAATAAAAACTGAATCCCTGGAATATTACCTATTTTTTTTATATATATAAATCTACACGTTTTTGGGAGGCAAGATAAGACCCACTTATAATACCGTTAATCCTTTCGTTTTGCATTTACTTATATACAGGGTGTCCCACAATAACGTGTACAACGGAAGACCACAGATTCGTGAACTCAAAATAGGCAGATTTTGATTTATTCACTTATATCGAAAATCACTTTGTTTGGCCGCTAAATGGCCTTAAAGTTCCTGAAAATTTTTTGAATTTTGTAAATAATTCGAATACATATCATTCAATTTTGATTATTTTTGGAGTGTGGACTTTTGCTTTCAATCTGCACATTTTGGTATTCTAGCGTTTTTTAAAACACACTACTCCTACAAAATTGATGTGTGGTGATATTATCCGTTCATAGCTTTTTCCTCTTCCGGGCAATAATGGTGACTATTTTTTATTTGAAAGTTTTTGGGTCTCATAGAATTTTGATTAAATGAGCGGTTTGGATACAAAAAATATTTTTTAAATGTCTACATTATCTCGACACCCATATTACCACAAAGAAAGCGATTTCGGATATAGGTGAATTAGCCTGAATCTGCCTGTTTTGAGTCAACGAATCTGTGGTCTTCCGTTGTACACGTTATTCTGGGACACCCTGTATAAATATAATTAATAGGATCTAAATGTAATATTTGTACACCCAATGTATGAAGTTTCAGCAAAAAAATAAGTGTCGAAAAATGTTACTTTCAATTTCGTGAATTTACTACATGAGTTTCTGAAATAACAGTTGGGTTTGTTGAAAATATACAACAATTATATATTTATTATTTAAATACTTATCAAATAAAAAAAGTTGCTTGAAGAAATAAAAACACACCAGTAACATATTCAATAATAAAGTAGTTAGTTTTACCTCGAAGAACAGCAAACCATGGTTCAATTAATATATTTCGGCGAAAACTTGTCCCATGAACAAGATTTTACCTTGAAATGTATTGTTTCTTACAAATGAGTTTTTTTAGACTGTACCGAGATTTCAAAAAAATGTATGTGCTGCATAGCAAATCTCTTACATTAACTGTTAGTAATGTCCAATAATTCAAGGCCGACATTATTTACATAATAAATGCCACCAATCCTCAGCAAATTAGTTTATTTGTGACAAGATTGGTGTGTGAATCAAATGTTATTTATTTAAAAATATTTTTTTTTTGCATATTTTGTCAAAACAAATAAATTTTTATGGGAAATGTTCTACAACCTATTTTTGCATTTTTCAGATCTAAAACATATTTTTCCCACCTTCGATAAATCCATAATGTATATTTTCAACAACACTAAATTGTACTTAAGTCACATAACCTATCATCGAGAACAGTGTAAGAAAGAGCTGCGATGACCCGACCTAATACTTCATTTTGATTATTTGGGTCAAACTTCTAACGCGGAACTAAATTAAACTATAAAGAATACATATTAACAAAAAGCCTCACCCAAATTATCAAAATCATTTCTTTTCAATTGCACCAGTTCGTACCAGTTGATATCACAAAAAATTAAGTAAATAATAAAGTAGTATCCAACAAATATTTATGAAAATATTTATATAGCTCCAAAACGATATTAAAAAAAAAAAAAAAATGATGAGATCAAAGACTGATACAAAATATAAACGTCTTCGGAATTGAGTCAATTAATAATACTGTGGACAAAAGCCAGCTCTTTCAAACAAAAACAAATACCATTAATAATAAGAGTGTACAAAAATGCACCAAGATCGATCAGACTTGGTGCTTTTACCTTTATTATAACCACCACCCCTGTTGCCGCCTCTAAAACAGAAGTAAATTCTCATCAGTAGCTGTTCAGTTTGGGGGGTGCGAAACCAAAGACTTTGGTAGTATCGAAACACTTTGTCTAAACATGTCTTCTCCTGGGATATTCATTCACCTGTTGGTCAGTCTAGCGTCTCGTCACGTGGAATAGTCGGTCAGTAGTCGATAACCTTTTATGTGGGATTTTCGAATTGTACCAATGTTAAAGACGTAGGACCCCATTACCAACATCAATTACAAATTTTAATAATACCTTTATTATTTAAACCCAGTACTAAAGTAAACCTCGAAGTTCACAGACGTTTCATTGGTACATTAAACAGTTCGTTTACTGTTCTACCTCTAGTTTGATACCAACGTAATAATATTTGTCAAAATTATAGCATAAATAGCTACCTGGTAAGGAGTTTACCTGAAAATTATACTGCAAGGGTTCTCAGCAATTAGCAATTATTATAGGATAGTAAATTTCAATCCCTTATTGCAAAAATTTTTAAGTTTCAAGAAATGTTTATTTTATGTACATGAATCAATGCTTAATACGCGCACTGCCAAAATTTCCAAGCATCCAGAACATTTTTCAAGGCCCATTCTTCGAGGAATTACTCAATGAAGACTTGTTTTCTTAGATGTAATTCCACACAAAATATTGTATAAATATGTCAATATGGTATAATCACTTTTTTTATCATATTTTGTTAGATTTCCTCAAAGTAATTACTGTATTGAGAAGTAAAATTAGGAATTTTTATTAAGCAAATAATTATGTAGCATCTTATTCTGTGGTTTACAAGACAGTGCCAACAATGGCTAATAGTTGTGGCTAGTCATTTAATTGCACATCTTCAATGAATGCAATTCTAAGAAAATGAAAAAGCAAATATTCCACTGTGACAAATCGTAAGCCGGAACTGTTATATGTATTGATTACGTATTTGTCTTTATAGTTAAGCTATTGCAGAAACATTGATCTAATGCGTAAACTACAATAATACACAGCCCCACAAAAAAAGGATCAGATCTGGTATTCAAACCCATATATTTCCATGTATTTTTTCCCGCTGAATCCGAATCTGCCTTCAGATTTGGCCCAACGGGTCCGAGTATTCAGGAAAATTAAAAAAAAATCATGCAAAATTCACAAAAAACGTCATTTACAATTGATGAAAGTTATAAAAAATCAAATAATTCTACCAGCTCACTAAAAGTATGATTTTTCACTCGTTTAATTCCAATTTATCATAGTCAGACAAGCTGGTCCAATTTAATTCCAAAAAAAATAGATCAAAATGCTTAAAAAGCCATTTTCATGACATAATTCGTGTTGCAGAGTTCTGGATCCATCTTTTTATCCACCCACCCAATTATGAATTCATAAATCTTTCTATCCAGTCGTTCATGCATGAATACGCATATTTATTCATCCACCTGTACCACCTATAAAACCCGCCCATCCACCCATCTATCCATCTACTTTTTGTACTGAGATGAGATAACAGCCTAGAAGAATGAGAATGCAATAAAACTTGTAGGTGCCCTGGTTACAGACACACGTTTCAAAAGTAAGAATAAATGTATACTATTACATTTGTAGTAAATATGAAGTTGGTACTTTGCGCAACAAATGGACATTGAAAACATAACTCTTAAAGATTGTTATGGTTGTGAATTTGTACATTAAGAGACGAAGTTGGTTCCATATACCTTCTGCCAACAATCTGATTTTGTATGGTGGAAAAAGTAAAAAGGATTAGAATATCATAAATTTGCTGTATCGACCATATACAGCGTGGTAAAAAAGTTCTGCATAAAATTCATATTTTCGTTAAACAATTTTTTTTTCGAAAAACGGTGAGACCCGTCGATTTTTATTTGATCCAGGGCACCTTGTTATGTGGAAAAATTTTTTTTTCGATAATCCACTTACGGCAGCGATGACATAATTTTTTTTTAAATGACAACGCATATTTTTTTCGTTCGAAATTGATGACAGTGATAATTATCTAAACAACGGTGTGAAAATTTCGATGTCTTACATAACAATTTTTTTTAGAAAAATGCACCTTAAGTTCTTATAAGTGATAATTGTCTACTTACACTATTAATGGCTCCGAAAAGGACAAAGTTGACAAAATTACATTTCAAACGAGTAAAATTACACTAATGTTTGTGTAAGTCTAGCGAAATTGTTCGAATTGCCCACCCTGTACCATTTGGCATTGTCCTAAGCGTGTGTAAACGCCGTCTACACTTCGTTCAAGCATTCCCGGGTCGATTTGATTTATTTCAAAACGAATACGGTTTTTAAGTTCTTCCAAATCACCTGGTCTGTTTGTGTACACACGCGATTTCAAATAGCCCCACAAAAAAAAGTCTAGAGGTGTTAAATCAGGCGAACGCGGAGGCCACTCGATTGTTCCGCGTCGCCCGATCCACCGGCCAGTAAACGTGTTATTCAAGTACTCCCGTACTCGCACTCCATAATGGGGCGGTGCACCATCCTGCTGAAACCAAATTCTTTCCTCAGGAATATCAGGATCCTTAAGGTGCATTTTTCTAAAAAAAATTGTTATGTAAGACATCGAAATTTTCACACCGTTGTTTAGATAATTATCACTGTCTCGCTGCCGTAAGTGGATTATAAAAAAAAAAAAATTTCCACATAACAAGGTGCCCTGGATCAAATAAAAATCGACGGGTCTCACCGTTTTTCGAAAAAAAATTATTTAATGAAAATATGAATTTTATGCAGAACTTTTTTACCACACTGTATATAGAAAAACCATATTATTTTAGAGTCTGTTACTTTTGAATAAATATAAGTTATAGCAACGCAAAATATATTATGTATAAAATACTTTATACATAAATAAATGAAGAGTGATAACATCCAGAATATCTATAAGCGTGATATTGAGCAGATGGACACTATTGAAGGACAATGAAATAGATATGGAAATATATGCGATCGATGAAGGTCGAGGTACGACTCTATGATGATAAAATGGAATTAAACGAGTGAAAAATCATACGTCTAGTGAGCTGGTAGAATAATTTGATTTTTTATAACTTTTTTCGATCGTAAATGACGTTCTTTGTGAATTTTGACCTGTTTTTTGAATTTTCCCGAAAACTCAGACCTGTTGGGCCAAACCTGAAGGCGGATTCAGCAGAAAAAAATACATGGGTCTGAATACCAGATCCGATCCTTTTTTTTTGTGGGTCTGTGTAATCTTTGTTACAATACAATTTGTATCTTTTCTTGCATAAAATGATTGAAAATAATAAAAAGAAAATTTGAATTACAGATTTCAAACAAATCTGTTCAAAAAAGTACATCAGTTTGTAGATATACCTGTAAGTTTCACAGGTGACTGCTTTTAATTTTATAATTTTACACATTACACACAGAGGCGTGTGTATACAACAAGGGGGCTAGCCTACCTCCCTTATTATTTCTGTTGTCTTCCCTAAAGCCATCAGAAAATGCATGACTGTTGAATGATCTTTGATTGTAATTGATTAATTCTCAGGCATTTCATATATAAAACATGAAAATGATAAACAAAATACTTCTTAAATGGGAAATTTTTTAGAATTTTTAATTTTTCTGAAATTTAATGTACCGATATTACAGGGTTCATAGTTCAAAAGTAATAAAAGAATCCCCCGACTTTTCCAGGTTTTCCCTGGCTTATAAAGAAAAATCTAGGTCACTTGTAGTTCATTTTTACATACTAATTGGTGTTTATGCATTAAATTTTTTTTTGAACTGGACTCCATCTCTCCATCTTTTTTATACTCTAACAACCTCTTATAAAGGTTTCAAAACCACAAATAGTTTTCTCTTTCAAGAACCCAGGGCCGGCTTGCACAAAATTTCCAGTTGCAAACATCAAATTCCCCGACTTTCATGAATATTTTTAAAATTCCCCGACTATTCCTCGTTTTTTTTATGAAGAATAACAAATTCCCCGACTTTTCCTGGTATTCCCGGCCACTACGAACCCTGTATTAACCTAACTAAAACTTGAATCTGCCGCCACTTATATTAATTTTTTTTTTTTTACACAAATTTACAACCTTGGTGTCAAGATGTTCACGATGATTCATAGTTGGTATAATTGACGTGGAGATCTTATTCCATCAGCATATCAGCCTCTGAGAGCAAATCCCATTCTCAGTGTAAGCAGAATATTTTAAAAGCGTGCCCCCAAAACCCCTCTCATAATGCTTTAAAATTTAACCAGTCCAATATTTTTCTTATTTCATTTTTGACGATAAAAGCAAACCAATATATACTTATTTTTATTTGTCTCTTCATTACTACAAAGACAATTTAATAATCATAATCTCATGTTGGCACCATATCCCTTCATCCGTTAACTTTGTTTTACGAAACTTACTTCGTGTGACTTGCTTTACCTTTAAATATTTCATTTTCTTCAAGAAAATGTCGATTAACCGTTTTTTTCCCATTTAACGGTTTGTGGTTCATCCCATAATACAAATAACTCCCATACCAAAACAAAAAATCAGGATATTTGTGTCGAGTGTTCCTTAATGTGAAACCGATCCCGCACAACAAAACTTGTAGCCTCGCACAGGACTGCTGAGAACCCTATTTTAGCATTTTGAAAGGAAGTGTCCACCTTCATTCAAAATATATGCATTTTTTTAAATAATTCGTCTCAATACCACATAACCTTTTCTATTAACCCTTTTAATACCAATTTGTACCTCTGCTATTTTAGTTTACAAATAATTTAACCTTCGCATATTATTCTTTCGTAATTTTTACCAATAGATACCGAACAAAATTATTTACCACGGTTTTGAATAAATACCTTGTAAACCTCCACCTTTTTAATAAACCCATTAAAACGTATAGTCATGTCAAAAAAGGAAATAATTAAGACAAGTTCATCTCTGGAAAATTTAACCATTGATTAGAATGTGCTGTATAACAACCAAAAACACTTTAAATAACAAGAGAGAAAGAAGGCACACTTCATGATCATACCTGATAAAAAAACGTTTGAAGGAATCGTTAACACCATTCACTCAAATACTGTACTACCTTGTAGGCAATTTTTTTTAAAACCAACCTCGCGTTATTGATACTTTCATACCACAGGGCAGACCCTACACATTAAGTGGTGATCAATGACATGGAAATACAAAAATAAAGGCGATATTAGTAATACAGGGCATTTCGAAAATAAGTGTAAAAAAAATTTAGGCAGTTCTACTCATTAAAATACGGAGCCTTCATAAATGATTACAAGCCACGTAACCAGTAATTTTATTTCCTTCATATTGGCAATTAAATTTCAGTAAAATTAAAAATTATTATAACATTAAGATCAAGATAACATTAAAACACAACATTCTGTTTCAGTGACTGTGATTGGTGTCATTTTTCATGAGATTCTATTCAACCAATGAGCAATCGGATTTAGGGATTTTTCGTTACCAGTACCAGTGGTGCAATGTTAGGTTGCCTAACCTCGGCTTGCAAACATTTATGAAGGCTCTGTTGCAATACAACTTTCCATGACAATTTTTGAAAATCTCAATATTAGCAGTTGCAAAACCTCAAAGTTGCACTTCAATTTGTGTAAAGCATTGTTTCTTTTTATCCCCAATGTAACTTTTTAAAATATTCTTATTTTTTTTTTTTGTTGTTCCCTATTCACTACAAATTTGATAGTTTTTTGATATTTAAAAAAAAAATAAAAAAATTTACCACAAAGGTCATTACAAAAATCTTATAAAAAGGTTCTCTTGATAATTGCTTTTCGAAGAAAAAAAAAACAAAAATATTTCGGGAAATTTTGCAAAGTTTGCCTTGCTTCTGCAAGTTATTAAATTTCACAACTTTTCCAAATTAATCATTACAAATTGAAGATGACTTGGCAGATTTCAATACTATCAACTGCGTAAAAACATGAATTTTTTTATTAATATAGATCAAGGACCAATGTACCATTTTTATAGGATTTTTATATTTGTTTTTGTAGGAAAAGCTTGTTACCAATAACAAGTTACTAAATTTGAAATTTATCGCTTATCTGAAAAGTTATAACAAAATACGGATTAATTTTTTTTTATGTAACTCGTTAATTGCACTAATATCGAATTTTTTAGTCTTAAATAATTGTACCATTATTTTGGTAAATAGAAACACTTCCAAAATTTTTTGCACTCATTTCCAGAACATCCTGTATATCAATACATATATAAAAAATTACAAGTATCAATGTTATACAAGTGACCATTTAAAATTTGAACTGATTATTTTCAGTATATTGAAAAATCACCATTTTAATATAAGGATACTACGTAAACGCATTATTCTTTTTTTTTTCTAATAACAATACTTGAAACTTACCCAAAACTATCTCTGCGTTCTAAATCCCGGCCTCCACCAGATCCACGGTCTCGGCCACCTAATCAATAACAAGACAAATAGATCTTAAATCTAATAACATAAGTAAAAAATTATATAATTTAAAAAATTATTTACTAGAGCATAAACCCCTCAAAAAATGCACAAATTTTATCTACTTTGTCAATTATTATAATAATCATGTCTCTGATGGAACCAGCATTTTGGTTGAATGGTTACTCTCCTAAATTATAAAAGATCGCATATTTTAAAATACTTAAAATGTTAGCAAAGATTAATACAATTCAAAAGTAAAAAGTTTCACTTATATGCATTTACTGGATATTTTAAAAGTGATAAAAACAAGGAAAATCAGATAAAATCATTCGATTTAGCAAAAACAAAAAATATGAACATTAGGGTGCCCCAAAAAAAGATGATTATTTTTTTCCATGTCTCTTGTGAAAATATGTTAAATCAGCTCAAAAAAAATATTTTTAGAGGTAACTCAAGATTTTTAAAAATTTCCAAAATCGTCAAAAATTGATTTTTTTTCTCGTTATTTTATCATTTTCTAGGTTGAAAAAAATCTCGATTCTGAAAATTTCAAATCGATATTTTAATTTCTAAAGGTCACTCATAATTATTTTAACTTTAAAAGTAGTGTACCTTAAATGTTTTCGAGCGACCTCTAAAAATAAATATCAACAAACTAATAATTTTTTTTTATTGAATTTGATGAACAAAAGAATAGAAATAAATCACACTTAAAAAATTTTTCGAGGCAAGATTTACTATCTCACTGTGAGTATCAAATATTTATAATTTTTTTAAATTTAAGTGTCTCGTGATTAGTTCGTTAATATTTATTTTTAGAAAACTCTCGAAAACATTTTAGGTACAGTACTTTGAAAATTAAAATAATTATGAGTGACATTTAGAAATTAAAATATCGATTTGAAGTTTTGAGAATCAAGATTTTTTTCAACCTAGAAATTGATAAAATAACGAGAAAAAATTTTTTTTAAATCAATTTTTGACGATTTCGGAAATGTTTAAAAATCTTGTGATCACTAAAAAAATTTGTTTGAGCTATTTTTTTGACGGGGCTCTTAAAATATGACAAACTAACATATTTTCACAAGACAAAAAAAATAATCGTTTTTTTTTTGGGCCACCCTAATGAACATGTCATTAATCTGATAATTAAAAATGAATTTCAATAAAACCTAATAGAATATCATTTGTCTATTCCATTGTTTAAATAATTACACCGGCCAAAAAAAAAAAGTTATGTGAACTTTACATGTGGCATATGATTTCTTTCCTGTGTATTTTTGTCTCCTGAGCACGAATCCATAGTCTGTTTTGCTCCATCACTTTTCAGTTTTCCGTAAGTCGCTGAATACCTTCAGAAAATCGCCAAAAATCTTCAGTAAAATGGAGAAATTTAGGAAGTAACGAGATCTTAACAGGTGACACATGTTTTTCGACGTAATTTTAACTTCTGGATCCATGGTTTTTGATGACCATGAGTTACATATGAAGATTTTGTTACTTTTACATATTTGCCATTTTTTAGATCGATTTTTTGAAGACTAGAAGGTGATGGAGCAAAACTGACATTGAATTCGGATTCAGAAGGTACAATACGTCCAAAAACCATATGCCGCATATCAAGATCTCGTCATTTCTCAAATTTCGCTCTTTTTTGAAGATCTTCAACGATTTTTTGAAGACTAGAGCGTTATGAGGTAATTCTAACAAAGATTCAGATCCAGGAGGTAAAATTACGTCGAAAAACATATGTCACATGTTAAGATCTCGTCACTCTCCATTCTACTGAAAATTTTTAGCGATTTTCTGAAGGTTTGCAATTTTTTCATAAAAATTGCAAAGCTCATTTGCCATTCGTAAACCTTCAGTCAGGTTTTTTAAGTTTAATGTTACATTTATCCAAGGCCATAGTGGCACGTGTAAGCGAGTGGTGTAAATGGCGACTTTTGTCAAAGGACTTTCGGCTTCACGATACTAAGATTTGTTTGTTTATAAATATTTTGATACCTACTTGTTTATTTTGACAAACATACATTATTCTAAAAATATAATATGTATCGTTAGTTTTTTTTAGGTCCGCGAATACGGGAACCGCGAATAAGGAGTTTTGACTGTATTTGCCAAGATAAAATACCAAGAAACGAATAAGCCCATAAAGTTCTGTTATCAGAACTACTGTAACAATTCACCGTGAAGGGATGTGCTTTGAAATTTTCATGTGGGAAAATTATCTTAAAATAATTATTCACATTAAACACGATACAATTCGACTGGGAATTAAATTCCTTTTGTTTATTTTTCATCATTGATTTATTATAAGAAATTACACTGAAAATGAGGACGACACGCTTACAAAGAAACATGCACAGTATGCACTGTAAGTTTCTATGGTGAACGTCACACCGCCGTATTTCTACTTTTGATCTCGAATACAGTTAATTCCAAGTGACGGGTATCTTCTTGGAATTCTATCTCGACAAATATTATACGGACTGTACTATCAATAAAAACCATCGCAGTTGATTTGATCCATAGCAAAACAGAAACTTTAAAATTACTGTGCACGGTACCCTACTGAAAATCAGACACATAACAAAATGCCGCCTACTCTTAATAAATGGGTCCAAAATACATAAAAATGAGACATGTAGTTTATATTTGCTTTACCATTCCAGGTCAATTACATTTAAACTTTTTTTAAATTCCATATCACGCAACTTACATAAACGGGTAAGCAAAGTAAATTTGCAGTACTTAATAACCTTATGGCAGTTTAAATACGAAATTATCATTTTCCGAAAAAAAATAATATAAAAATTAAATGTTTCCTAGGTTAGAATTTACAATTTTTTTTTCTCAAAAACACCGAATTTAACTGAACGAAAATAACTTCAGAATCATGTTCAACATCCTTGAAAATTTAGTGCAGATAAAATTTTGTGATCAGAAAATTTTACAATACAGTAAACAATTATGTACAAAGACGCTTACCTCCGTAACCACCACCTCCAGACCCATAACCGCCACCGCCGCCGTAACCGCCTCCGCCGCTACTGCCGTAGCCTCCACCACCGCCAGATCCATAACCACCGCCTCCTTGGTAATTACCGCCTCCACCTGAAATTAAATCGAAAAATTAAAAATCACGTTTTAGAGGAGTCACGTAACATTTATTCTACAACATTTGTCCTCGAGAAGTTCTACCCCTTCATTTATGAGATAAACGAAGGGACTATCAATTCTTAGGTTTTATATACGACATAGTAGGAGGCATACAAACAACGGAAGTATTTATATCCATGCCTATGTCGCCACGCCATACCGCCATTTTTTTTTCGAATATGAATACACCATTTTATGCGAATAAAACCTACCTTGTCCGCCTCCATAGCCGCCGGGGCCAGATTGGCTTCTATTTTGGTTCCACGACCCGCCACCTCCAGTTCCACCGGACTGGTAGCCGCCGCCGCCGCCACCCCCAGAGCCTTGGCTGCCGTACGTGTTGGGATACGCTGTACTTGGAGGAGGCTGTGAATAATCTCCGTATCCACCCGCTCCTAAACCATAACCTTTTTAAAAACATTCTCGATAAATACAAACGGGAACATTAAAATACAATTTCATAACGACGCCCTGCACCAGTTTGAAAAATCGTTAAGTTACGTGGCAATTGAAAAAATATCTAATAACATTTACAACTGAAAAGTAAATAAGTACTTCTACGTATGTAGAAAAAGCTGATGAACTATTTCTTTAAAAATAAAATAAGAAAACTCACTGTCGCCCATTTTCTTCTGCTACCAAATATATGTAAAATCAAAATTTCACTATAACGACACTTAACAAACAGGAGACGAACGCCTTACAACAAGAACAGACGCCGCGCTAATGTCGTAGCCTGTAGTCTGGGCGTAGAAAATCAATACATTTTCGTAGATACCGGCTACGAATTGTACTAAAGTGCCCTCTATAACGGAAACCGCAAAGTAAAAAGTTGCGGTCAAATTAAAAATTTAAATTATTAGGTTTAGTAAAAAGGAAGACTTTCGGCATTTTCAACTTATTTGTACCTTTGCAATCAGTACGAGTTGAAAATATTTTCATCTTTTATCATTTGAATTGATAGTACAGTGCGCACTGAGTGCAAAATTAAAAACGCTGTTTAAAAAAAAAGCAGATAAGTAAAATATTGTTTTATTAAAAACTCCAAATGTTTCACAAAATTCTAAAATAGTGCTTTATTTATTTAAGAATTAGGTAAGTAAAAATTGACGATTTTATAACTACCATACACTACTCACGAACATGTTGCTAGAATAAACGAATTCTTTCTTCCATGAAGTTCCAGCTGATTGGCTTAATTTAAAAAGTTATGGCGGGTCTCTATCGCACAGGCAGTCATTGGCTAACGCGACTCCTTTATCAACGATTAGAGAGAGAAAGAGATAGTACCTTAACTATCGTTCTTTCTCTCTATAGTGACTACACTTTTTAACACGCGCCGCTTCCCTTACTCTAAGCCTCCTACTATGTAGGAGAAGCACAGGAGTAGTCTTTAACTCATGATTATAATTTGAAATAAAGACAGCTGATTGGTTGAATTTAAGAAATTCTGAGGGAATTTTAAATTTAGCCAATCAGCTGCTCAAATTTAGATTATAATCTACATACTTAGACAAATGATAATTCTAAATATAAGGGAAAGATCATGAACACATGAACTGAAGGAAAGGAAGTACTAGTGAGAGTGAGTGGCAGTGGTCAGTGTCAATTCTTCTAACCTTAAATTTTAATCTTGAAAATTCCATATGTAAAAATATTAAATAGTTTAATTCTAATTAATGTTTCTAAACAGTTAAAGATAATGGTTGCCGGTATTTTAATTTAAATATCTGTTATTTTTTACATCTATCAAACGTATTAATATTTTAGCCGAACTCTTACCTCAAGATATGATGGATACAGATTTTTTTAAAGATTTTCATGGTGCTCAAATTCTAAAGGATATACCAGATATCCAGTACACTGCAGCAGAGTAATTGGATAAAATTTTTTTATTATTGTGTATACTTATTTAATATTTGCAGATGTGAATATGAAAGATTGCACAATGTTTTCAAACACGCTGAAGATATCAGTATAGCGAAAGGTTTAATTTATTTAAAATATCTGTATGATGTTATAAAAAGGCAAGTGACAGCGAAAATTAAAGATGACATTCCTTTAGATGATGTAGTATACAAAGCCCTTATAAATGCAGTTAAAGATTATAAAAAAAATCAAGTCGTTGATAAACGTATCTTTTCAAGACTTCCACAGAGTCATTTGGATAAAATCCAACAGGTAGGTATATACTTTTAATATCTTAAAACACTATTTATATGATAAAATTTTAGGTATTGGAAAATATCACAGACAGACTGCCAAATGATTTTTTTCAAAAAGATACGAATCATATCTTACCTGGATCTAATAGTTATGACCCTCGCCAAGAATTTAAATCAATCGATCCAATATTCTACATACCTTTGAAAGAAAACCTTCCCGAAATTGACGATTTACAAAAACAAAAGAAAAAGAATTTTTCGTTGCTTTATGTGCATCCAAAAAAACCCACACCAAATACTACAAATGAAAACGAGGCTTATCCCCTGGAGACCATGTTTGAATGTTATAGGGATGTTATCCCACATTATGATTATAGGGAATTTAAAGCAATAATTCACACGGAACTAAATTCTAACAGAAGTGATGATGAACTTATGGAATATTTCTTAGAAACATTTGGATATACAGCATTTGATTTCTTGACGGAGATAATTAGGCATCGAAATAAAAAAATTGAGTATGGCTCAGCTATATATGGTAAGTAGATTCGTTTATGTATGTGAATTGTGCACTAATCATCGTTGTACTGCAGAAAATGACGGAAGAAGCAGCAAAAAACATCCAGCTGACATGATAGCTGGGCAGGTAACGGTTCAGTCCGAGAAAGAAAGTATATTGTCTAAAAAATTAAGGAAAATGGAGAAAAAGGACAAGTCCAAATATTCTACAGTCGAAGTAAAACAAACAGAAGCGGAGTATGCAGTGGCTAAAAGTACTCCTATATTCAAAAAAGCAGCACTGCAAAAATTAGATCCTGAGGAATTTCCACATGTCCACGACCAGTTGCGCAATCACATGGTTACAAGTAAGTTACGAGTAAATTTTTTTTTATAAGTAATTTATTGACATGCTTCCTTATATTTCAAGCTAAGTACGATGGGATTTCAATTATGCAGCCTGAAAATGCTATTAAAAAAATAACTTCTGACTATGCAGAATTTACGATACCGGGTGGCAAAAAAGGGGATGTGCCAGACATGGAATTGGTGAAAGTTAGTTCGTTAGACACAACCGGTCAGCTAGTATTTAGAGACATAAAAGAGTTTAATCGAATCCAATCGGAAGTTTTTCCCGTTGCATATCATTCTAACGAAAATATGCTGGTTTGCGCGCCAACCGGAGCTGGTAAGACCAATATAGCACTTCTGTCCATCGTTCACCAAATCAAGTGTCACATGGAGGGTAACCTTATCAGGAAAAACGATTTTAAAGTAACGTAAACTACAATTTACTATTGTAATAGTTCCTCATTTTTTTTTTTATTAGATTGTGTATGTATGTCCTATGAAAGCCCTAGCTACGGAGATGGTGACTAATTTTTCAAAAAAATTGTCTCCGATTGGTATAACCGTTAAAGAATGCACGGGAGACATGCAGTTGACAAAAAAAGAAATAGAAACGACACAAATGCTCGTGACTACGCCAGAAAAGTGGGACGTTATTACTAGAAAAGGAGCAGGTTAGTTTCTCGTAATCCATTGTTGTGATTCAAAGTTTACATATTTTACATATTTAATTTTTTTTAGTCGATACCGAAGTGGTAGGTTTGGTGAAACTATTAATCATCGACGAAGTCCATTTACTCAACGGTAGCCGTGGACCTGTGATAGAAGCGTTGGTAGCCAGAACTCTACGTCAAGTCGTAAGCAGTCAAAGCATGATAAGAATTGTCGCGCTTTCAGCCACGTTGCCGGGATATTTAGACGTTGCCACATTTTTGAAAGTGAACACCCGTACCGGACTCTTCTTTTTCGACAATCGCTTCAGATCCGTACCGCTGACGACCAGTTTTATCGGTTGTAAGAAGAAAAATGAAAACGAGACTATGGATATGGTTTGTTATGAAAAAGTTGTCGGCTTCATTAGGGACGGGCATCAGGTAAATGACTACAAACGAAAACGTGGAAATATCGTTTGTAAACGTTAAGAAAATTTTTAGGCGATGGTCTTTGTAACCTCAAGGAATGCTACTGCTACCGTAGCTAAAAAGTTGATTGAAATCGCTCAAGTTAAAGGGACTCTGCCTTTGTTCGAACCGGAAAAGAATGTCAGTATCAATCGTGGAGGGTACAAAAGTGGCGATTTGAGTTTTCTTGTCCCGCAAGGATTTGGAATTCATCATGCAGGTAACAATTATACTAAATAAAATAATTTTTGTAGTCATCCACATTTCAAAAAGATTTATACTTTCTTAATTTATTTTATTGATAAAAATCTTCCATAAATGACATAAATGATAGTGAGGATGCACACGACAGCCCTCAGTGGCCGATTATTTGTTTTGTCTTCTTGTTTGCCGTTAATTTAACATATGCTTTATCTCACATATTTTTCTTAATATTTTTGTCATGATATTCTTCACAGTAACTGTCATATAAGATACGGCACATTTGCACTTTGCTGATCAACAGTCGAGTCAAAAATGGAGCGTTGTACATTTGTTTTATTAGAACTGCAACGTTCGCCATCTGCACTTGTCCAATTGTATCATGTTCATTTTTGCTGATGAAATAGTTAGTCATAAATTGTCTTGTTTCCAGTGATTCTGGATAATTAATTTCGATATTAATCAACAACCTTAATTAATAGTCGGCAATCAACTATTACATCGACGAGTGATAAAAAATCACACATACCTATGAAAACGTTCAGATAGAGTCTTGTTACTTAAAAAAATATATAATCTGCTGCTGAATGTTTGTCATGTGCATCGTCGCTAAGATTTATCAAATTCTGTATACTAGCAAAAAGTTTATATAAAAAAAATACCCATATCCCACATGAATCAACTAATAGACTAATCCTTGCGATTAAAATACTAGTAGTCCAGATAGTATCTGTTTCAAAAAGTCCATATTTGGGTGAATCGTATATCCACAAAGATTTTTGGCTTTTTGGCTTTCAAATATCATTAGAAATGAAAATTTTTCTATGCGCATAAAAAAAAACGTGGGCTTAACTTTTGGCGGCACAATATGTTTAAAAAATTGGAAAAATGTCATATTTTTCTTCCTATTTAATTATGTATCTTTTCAAGAGTTCATTTTAGGCGAAAATGGAAGATGTTTGTAATTGAATTTTTTACAAAATATGACTAGTTACAAATCGAATGAATCATGATTATTATGGTAAAAATCAAAAAATTCACCAAAAATGGGGTTAAAAAACATTACTTTTTGGGGATTTTTTTTTGGGGTCATTAAATTGGGTATAGGACCTTCATACTTGGCTCAAGAAACCTTCATGTAGAATCATCATACCAAATTTCATCAAAATCAGTTCGATAGATTTTGCATAATTTTGCAATCCAGATTTTGAAAAAAATTTTGCACAGCAAAAACCAAAGTTCTTAGATACTTAAAAATTTAATCAGATATAGAAAGGCTCTCAAGCTTTCAAATGCTTTTTGAAAAATTCGAATCCGTCAATTAGGAGAGCTCTGGCGCTTGTTTAAACATTGGTCGAATTTTTGTACTTATAAACGATTAGAATAACTTTGTGAATATTTAATCAAATCAAATTTTTTAAAGCAGGTTTTAAAAGTTATTCGAAAGACGCTTCTTTAAAAAAAAACAGATCGATTGGTCAATTAGTTACGTAGTTATAGCTGATCAAAGTTAACCGTCATTTACACTAAATGTACTGGGACATCCGGGCTAATTTTTCGAAAAATACCTTTGGTATTCTGAGTACCTATCAGGTCTAAGTTTGCAATACTTTTCTTCATTAGCAACCTACTTTAGCAAGCGAGAAATTCAAGAAAATCATACGGGTGGTGGTGGGAAAATAAAGTTGATAATTAAAGGAAGTTTAAAGATAAATAATTATTGGACTGTTGAAAGACCAATAATTATTAACGATAGGCATTTGAAAATACGCCAAAATTAAAAAAAATCATCAAAATCGGACCTCTAGACGCTGAGATATTAAAAATTTTTAAGCGCATCGCGGTTTTGAACTCGCCGATTCAGTTTCGAGCAGGCCGAAGCCGCCGCGTTCTCTGCTTCTTTGCCCACCACCACCCGTACGATTTTCTTGAATTTCTCGCTTGCATAAATAACTTTAAACACGTTAAAAAATTAACCCGGATGTCTCAGTACATTTAGTGTAAATACGTAACTAATTGACCAATCGATCTGTTTTTTTTTTTAAAGAAGCGTCTTTCGAATAACTTTTAAAACCTGCTTTAAAAAATTTGATTTGAATGAATATTCACAAAATTATTCTAATTGTTTATAAGTACAAAAATTCGACCAATGTTTAAACAAGCGCCAGAGCTCTCCTAATTGACGGATTCGAATTTTTCAAAAAGCGTTTGAAAGCTTGAGAGCCCTTCTATATATGATTAAATTTTCAAGTATCTAAGGGCCTTGGTTTTTGCTGTGCAAAATTTTGAAAATTTGCTAATTTTTCTTCAAAATCTGGATTGCAAAATCTATCGAACCGATTTTGATGAAATTTGGTGTAATGATTCTTCATAACATGAAGTTGTTTGAGCCAAGTATGAAGATGCTATACCCAATTTAAAGACCCCAAAAAAATTCCCTAAAAAGTAATGTTTTTCAAACCCAATTTTGGGGATATTTTCGATTTTTATAACAATCATGTTTCATTCGATTTGTAACTAGTAATATTTTGTAAAAAATTTAATTACAAACATTTTTCTCCTCTTCCATTTTCGCCTAAAATCAACTCTTGAAATGATACATAATTAAATAGGAAGAAAAATATCACATTTTTCGAATTTTTTTAACATATTGTGCCGCCAAAAGTTAAGTCTACGTTTTTTTTATGCACATGGAAAATTTTCATTTCTACTGATATTTGAAAGCCAAAAAGCCAAAACTCTCCGTGGATATATGATTCACACAAACTAAAACAGATACCGTATATAGAGATTTATTTATTTTCATCACTTCAGAGACCATCAGAAGTTAATTTTTGATTTAGAATTAATGAACTCATACGACCATTGTTTTTGTCTCAGTTTTCTTGATGTGACATATTTTCACTTATTCAAGACCAAAAATTTAGATCGTTTTACAAATATAAGCAAAATCATCTCTTTTATTTAAATTCTCAGGTACATCCAAATTTTAAACTTCTGGATAGGAGAAGTACTGAAATACCTATAAATATTTTAATTTGCTTGTCTTCAGACATTTCTAATTTATTCAGAAAAGTGTTTTCAGGAATATCAACTTTGTAACATTAATTTTTAAAAAACTTTATTTTCCGCGCAATTAAAAATTCCGTGACATTCAACATGCTGTTACAGGAATGGTAAGGTCGGACCGTCTTGAGGTCGAAAGGCTATTCAGAGTTGGACATTTAAAGGTAGTTGTGTGTACAACAACGCTTGCTTGGGGGGTCAATTTACCAGCTCACGCTGTAATTATAAGGGTAAGTTTAAGTAACACACAAGCATAGTAAATAAAGGTGATTTATCGTAGGGTACATTGCATTACGATGCTACGAAATCAACATTTGTGGACATGGACATGTTAGACGTACAACAAATATTTGGTCGAGCAGGCAGACCGCAATATGACACGTCTGGTCACGGTATTATCATAACGTCTATGGTTAATATGTCTAAGTATATGGGCTTGATGACTTCGCAGGTGCCTATTGAAAGTCAATTCTTAAATTGTATTCCTGACAACCTTAACGCAGAGGTAGGTTGATATAAATGACTGTATAAGTTTATTTTTCACTTTATCGTTTTAGATTGTTTTGGGTACTGTTTCCAACGCAAGGGAAGCGATGGAGTGGTTAGCCAACACATTTTTGTTTGTTAGAATTAAGAAGAATCCCCTTGTGTACGGCTTAACTTTCAATGAAATATGGGTAAGCAGAATTAATTAAATGTAAATGGGTGTTAATATATATTTTAATTTTTTTCAGGATACAAAACAGTTCAACCAGTTCTTACAGCTACAGTTGGACACCGCTGCTAAAACCCTAGAAAGTTCTCAGATGATCAGGTTCGACACGACTTTAGGCGAGCTTCGACCAACGAATTTTGGCAGGATCGCCAGTTTTTACTACATCTCGTACAGAACGATGGAATCATTCTATGAAAAATTCGACAGGCATATTTCCGAATCCGGTTTGATCCAGCTCATTAGCGAAGCATCGGAATTTGCTCAGATACAAGTAAAGCAGTAAAATTTCCAAAATTCACAGTTACAGAACTCTTATTTTTAGGTTCGAATGGATGAGATTCACGAGTTGGACCGATTACGTGAATATAACGAATACGATATCAATTTAGACTTTACTTCGCACGTAGCGAAGGTTATTATTTTGATTCAAGCGAACATAAGTAGGGCTCAGATAAGAGTTTCTTCCCTAGTATCCGACTGTCAGTTTATAATGCAAGTAAGTTAACATCGTAGCGTTAGATTATGCTCCTGTTACAAAATAGTACTCGACATGTGTTATACGACAGGTAAGACGACGTGAAATGCGATTCCATAGGCATATCATTTTAAAGAGTCTAAAAAATTATTAAAAGCAGAATAACAAATATATAGAAATAAGTGCCAAAATTTAAACAACATATTTTTAACTCCTCAAAAACAAATACCTCTAAAAATTTTTTTTTAATATCTTGATTTTTAAGATATTTTATAAATTTAAAATTTTTGTTACCCAAAAGCATAAATCAAACTTGATTGAAAAACAAACGGAAAGATGCGGAATTAATTCAGTTATGATTGAAAAATAATTAAATTTATTATAAACTAAGTAAGTAAAAGATGACAAACTTTTTATTCGCTAAAAAGAAATCGATGTTATTTCGGCATATTTACACTTAATTTACCAAGTTGCAAGAAATATTTACAATCTCTTCCTTTATTGTGAAGGCTACAATTATGTCACGAATGCGCTGAAAGTCCGAGGATTTCTGAATCGTTGCGATAATTGTTGTAACATTCTCTATTTGTACACGTAGTTCCTCAACCATATTAACTGGAGTGGAATACACTGTCTGTTTCAAATGACTATAAATAAATTCCCATGGAATCAAATCTGGCGATCAGACTGGCCGTGTAACTGGAAAATTTCAACCGTCTATCATTTTTATCTATCCGTGTTTTATTATGATAATAAACTTTCTTTTTCGATGTACGAAACTACGATTTTTTTAAATATTTTTTTTTAGAGAAACACATTTTCGAAAAGTGTGTTACGGACATGTCGATGAAATGTCCGGACATGTCGGGAAAAGTACTTTTGACCTTGAATCTAATAAGACACCTATCAGTGACGTCATGTTTTCACAGATCACTGCTCGAGGGTACACAAAGCAAAATATTACTTTTATTCTAATGAATATGTGTCGATATATTTTACTCATTACCTACCTTTAGATTTTTTTATAAACTGGTTTCTAATTTTTTGCCCGGACAGCCAATACACTTATTTAAATGTTTTTCCATCCTACTGGAATTCTTAAAAATTGTTTTTGAGCAGAAGAAATATAANGACAGCCTATACACTTATTTAAATGTTTTGTCGATCTTACTGGAATTCTAAAAAATTGTTTTTGAGTAGAAGTATTTATAATGATTTTTACTCAATTCATTTATAAACTATTTGTGAATTAAATATTAAATTAAGAATCAACTGATTACTATTTACTAATCGTTAACTGACAAAAATAATAAAATATGGATATATAAAAGAGGTTATATTTTTAAAATGTCAGTTTCAGTTAAACAATTACCAACAAAATTACAAGAAAATTACTAAGTATATTTAATTTTACATATACCAACCTAGAAAATTTTTTGCGGGAATTATGAATGCAATAAATACTTCCGCGCATGCGCATACAACTTTTCAATCTTGAAAAGTGTCCTCGGGACATGTCCACTTTTCACGACATATCCGCGTCACATCAAATTTTTTTTAACATACCACAATTTTGTTCTTATCTATTCGCATACTTTTTTGACTTAAAATTTTAAATAAAGAAAATTTATTTCATCTACTACACAGTAAAACTTTTCGGTATAACATGTTTTTCATACTTGCATGCAGATGACATGAAAGGAAAACCCTAAGCTGGATACTAATAAATCAAGAACTGAAACTATGCAACACCCGTCATCTCTCTTTTTGTACATGAGCAGCAAAGATAGTAATGAGCACTTGTGACATTAGAACGTACCAAGGTTCAGAATATTATTGGTACATTATGCAAAATGAACGGGAAATATTACAATTAGCATGCAGAAAATATACAAACTTATTTTGTCACATTAAGAACTTGTAAAAATTGTAGTTTACTTTATTTATGGCTCTACTGCCTAGTAGTTTGACACTGGAGTATTTATTACCCATAATATTAGCATGTTTTTCATTTTTAGACAGTGACGAGGCTGGCACGGGCGCTTTTTGAAATCGCCAAAGACAAAGACTTTGCCTTGCAAGTATCGCAAACCTTAATAATAGCCCAAATGCTGGAACAACAGCTATGGCACCACATACACCCATTAATGCAATTCAAGGAACTTGTGCCGCATCTGAGCACCCATCGCTCTATGGAAATCTTAAATATGCCAATGTGGGAACTGAAGGAGTTATCGGAACGGGAGCTGGAGTCTCTGTTTCGCAGTAAACATGTGGGAAGTCGTGTCAGGCACTACTGCCAGATCTTCCCGCACGTAGAGGTAGATTTAATCGTTAAACCGATCACCGAGGGCGTAATTAGGGTGAGGTTACTGATAACGCCCAAGTTTAAGTGGGATCACAGCGTACATGGAGCCGTTCAACATTACTACGCCTGGGTTGAGGATCCCCAGCATGATAGTATATATCATATGGAATCGTTCGTTATAACGAAAAAGATTTGCGTTTCTGCTGAGCCCGTAGAGTTGTTGTTTACGGTTCCGTTAGCGAAACCGCTTTCTTTGGAATATTTCGTGAGAGTGGTCAACAGCCAGTTTCTGCGTAAGTGTATTTTACGTCAGCTTTATCGGATCACTGTGTATGTTTTTTTTTTTTTTTGTAGATTCCGAGACAATTAGGGTGATCAACTTGGAAGATTTGAAATTATTTACCAGCGATTCGTTTCAAACGAAAATATTGGACGTACAGCCTTTACCAAAGACCGTACTGCAGAACAAATCTTATGAAAATCTTTATCCCTTTACACATTTCAATACCGTTCAGAGTCAAGTATTTCACTCGTGTTACTACACCGACACGCCTGTTATACTTGGGGCGCCTACCGGTTCGGGAAAGACTATTGTGGCAGAGCTTTGCGTTTTACGGCAGTTTAGACAGGATCCTAAGCTTAAGGTAAGTTGCAGTTTAATTAAATTTAGGGGTCTCGTATTCCGAATCAGCTCCAATCCTTGTCAGACGAAGATTTTAAACTGTCTCTCGGGAAGTGCTAGTATGTAACGGAGAAAATGTAAATTGGAAATATTTAAGGAAGGTCAGAATTAGAGTAAATAACAAGTGGCCGAAATCGAATTCAAGGCCATACAGTCCTGTCGTCAAAGATCTGTAATATTTTGTTGCATCTAAGTGTGATGTGGAATTTTGTTGCATTTTTAAGATTCAACACTCATACACTCACCGAAAAAAAAAGCCGGCCACCCTAAAAATTTCATAAAAGCACCTAAATATTAATTAATGGAACTTCATTATCGATTCAAGTTGCAACGGATAACTAAAAAAAAATTATTTAAGACAATTAAATTTAATTAAAACAATAACAAACGGAACAAAAAATACACTATCTTCTTATGTCTAAAAAATTATGGTGGCTGTTTTTAATGGACTTCCTGGTTATTGTTAATAGCGTGTATGTCCTCCTCGAGCCTGAATTGCAGCATTCAACCTGACATTGAGTCAACCAAATTTTTTAAGCGTATTTGGGGAATTGCTTCATATTTTTCTTGAAGGACCAGTCTTAGCTTTCGAAGAGTCTGTGGCATGACTGGTCGACAACGAATAGCCCTCTGAATTTCATCCCAAAGATGTTCAATTGGGTTTAGGTCCGGGCTGCATGCGGGCCAATCAGATCTACGAATACTGACCTTGTTTAAATATTCAGTTACGATCACATATCTGCGGGCATTCAAAGCTCCATTATCCACAAATATTAGGTCGATACGTGCTTCCGTAGAAATACCCGCCCACACCATAACAGAAACTCCTTTAAAAGATACTCGTTCAGAGATGGTGCAGTCTGAATATCGTTCATTTTGTCTTCTCCACATCCTTTCCCGACCATCAGGTGATCGCGGACAAAAAACTTGTCAGTAAAAAGAGCTTCACTTCTTTGCCGAGGAATCCTATTTACATGTAATCGCGCAAACTGAAGGCTCTAGCCTAAGTAGAAATTGTGGTCCTGTGGCCGGCTCAGTGAAGATAAACCATTTTTTACAAGCCTCCTCCTAACCGTCCTCTTGAACCCCTCGCACTGTTAGGAGGCGATGCTGAAGTTAGTTCAACTTCTGTTGACTGTTGACCTCAGTGTGTTGAGCACAACGAAACGACCATCAAGCGCCGTTGTTACTCTATTTCTTCCAGATCCTGGTCGTTTTGTGATTGCTAATCTCCAGATACTGATTCAATGCATCCTGAACGGTAGTACGAATTATTCCCAATGAACGAGACACATAACGCTGATTACGTCCATTTTCAATCATTGCAACCGGTTGGAAAGCGTCAGCATCAGCATCAATTTTGTTCCAAAAACAATGTACATAAACATACTTGCCTTTTAGAAAACATTAATGATAGGAAATGATGCATAGTCTGCTGCTGTGTGATTTACGCAAGTTATTAATGTCGTTGAAAAGGGAATTTCCACTTATAAAATTAAAATTACGCTTACGTAGATGTGGAACAATGATGACAGGTTACTAACTAGCGTATGAACTAATTTCATCTTTTGCAGTAGGAGCGGTTACGTTATTATTTTTGAAAACAATAACTGAACCATAAAACCTTTGATAACATTTTTGGTTTTTTGTTTTTTTTTTTTGTAAAAATTTTTGTAGAGAGCTTTTTTGCATACATTCCTGTTTAAAATTCAATAACTTCGATGAGATTTGTGTATAATTCTTAGTTTTTAAATTGTAAAACAAAATTGTTATAATTCTCTATCATGTAAATGTTTAAAATGTCCCTAAAAGTTTCTTATAATTTATGACATTGTTTTGAAGGAAATTTTCCTGATAAAAAAATACATGTATCTACAGGATGTTCCGATATCAAATGTATTAACCTCAAAAACAGTGTACTTTCAACTTTAATGATTATCGTCATGATTTTCTTTCTTTCCCAGGTTGTCTACATAGCCCCTATGAAGGCATTGGTTAGGGAACGGGTACTAGATTGGTCGAAAAAATTTGCAAAAATCTCTAAAAATGTAGTAGAGGTAACAGGCGACATAACGCCTCGGTCCGAGATCATTCGGTCCGCTAATATCATTATCACTACTCCAGAAAAATGGGACGCTATGAGTAGAAACTGGTTAGAAAAGGATTTTGTTAAAGACGTTGGTTTGATGATCATCGACGAGATACATTTGTTGGGCGAAGACCGAGGTCCAGTTCTAGAAGCTATCGTTTCTAGAATGAACTTTATCAACTTCAAGACGATGAAGTCTGTAAGAATCGTGGGCCTTTCGACTGCTATGGCAAACCCTGGAGATCTCGCCTATTGGTTAAGCGCTGATAAGGTATTTTTTGCTACTTTTAAAAGTATAATCGTTAATTTTATCAATTTTTAATTTTTGCAGAGGGGCATTTTCAATTTTAGCTCAGCCGTGCGACCCGTACCGCTCGAAATTCACTTACAGGGCTTCGCTGTAAAACATTACTGCCCCAGGATGGCAGCTATGAATAAATCCGTCTATCAAGCGATCGGCCAGTACGCACAAGAGAGTTCGGCTTTGATTTTTGTGTCTTCGCGCAAGCAAACTAGGATAACGGGTTACGAACTAGTGAAATTTTTAGTATCGGACAATAACCCGCAGAAATGGATGCATTGCGATCCCCAGGAGTTAGAAACAATAAAAATGCGATTAGTTGACCAAGATCTGGCCCAGCTGCTCAACTTTGGCATAGGAATGCACCACGCCGCATTAACGGACAACGACAGAAGCATCATTGAAAACTTATACGTTAATCAGAAGATTCAGGTGTTGATAGCAACGGCCACCTTAGCATGGGGTGTGAATTTCCCTGCGAGACTGGTGATTGTTAAAGGTACGGAATACTTCGACGGCGCGACAAAACGTTACGTCGACATGCCGATAACAGATGTTATTCAGATGGTCGGTAGGGCAGGAAGACCTCAGTTCGACAAGACTGGCGTGGCGTGCGTGATGGTGCAGGAGAACAAGAAAAATTTCTACAGGAAATTCTTGTTCGAACCGTTTCCCGTGGAATCGAATCTGTTGGAGTTCTTGCCCAATCACGTGAACGCGGAAGTAGCAAACGGGAATATTACGACGAAAGGACAGCTCGTGGAATTCATCCAGTCAACGTTCTTTTATCGGAGACTGCTGGCCAACCCTTCGTATTATCAAATGGAGCCTAATTCCGATCCTGACGAGTATGTGAACGATCTTGCCGATTCGGTTATCGGTACGTTACAGGAGCATCGGTGCATAGCGAGCCAAGAAGAGGTAAGAATAAATTTATAGGTTAAATAGTACCACGGTCGGAAATGTCGGCAATGTGATTTGATTTTTTAGGAAATGAAATTTTTGTATGAATCAACGTTTTTGGGTACGTTGGCAGCTCAGTACTATCTGTCGTACAAAACGATATATTTCTTAAGCGAAAATATGGAACAAAACAGTTCAATTGATGAGCTTTTGTCGTTAATTTGCCAAGTAGAGGAATATCGGTTGCTTCCCGTTAGGCACAATGAAGACAACATAAATAGGTAACGTTTATGTACCACTTTACCGCTTTATATTTACGTTTTGTGGCCCTAACAATCAGATATGTTTTAGGGACATAGTGCGAGAATTGGGCATCAAAACCTCATTTCCGTACGATTCTCCATGTTTAAAAGCGTTGTTGATGATAAAATGCTATTTGCTGGACGTTAACCTGCCAAATCAAGAATACGTTTTAGATTTGAAGTCGGTACTGGATCAAATTATCAGAATAATCCACGTAAGTAAGCATAAGCTTCAAAAAACTAATTTATTATTTGTTAATGGTCTGTAATTATCAAAATTTATACAGGGTGTTTTTAAATGAAGTAGCAAAATTGGTACCAGTGAGGCGATATACCCTCTTAAAAGGAGGAGATTGAAATTCACATTTTAATTTTTTCTTTAACATGCGGAATGCTGGAGACACGAAACTTGGTATGAGCATCCTGCTAATAAAGAGACAACTTTTCAATATTTGTTCGATCATTGACGTATTTTATAAAGGAGTGAAACAGTCAACCCCATTGCAATATTTTATTAGAAATTTTTTATATGAAGCAAATTATTTATTTAAAAATATTTATTGGGAGGACTGATTTATTGCGCAACTTTTTTACCTCTTGTATTTTTCGATAAAACCGAGTTTTCTAGTAAAAAAATTAGATGCGTCATCGTTCACTAAAGGGGTAATTGCGAAAATTTGTAAAAATAAAGTAGGCTTATGTCATAACAAATAAAATGTTATTTATCATTTTAATAAATTGACGCTTTCTGTCAACCAATAATTAGTACCAATTGATTAATTTATTATCAGAATAATTATGGCAAATAATATTTATACCAATGACGAATATGTCGACATGCTCCAAGTGTTTTTCGAATCCAGAAAAAATAGTAACGCAGTAAGATTATACCGCCAAAGATATTCAAACCGACCGATTCCTCATAGACAGACATTGGCCTCGGTGGAAAGAAGGCTTCGCGAAACTGGTAAAATTCAGCCCAATCGTGAGGGTGCCGGAAGAAGGCGTAATGTCCGAACTGTTGAAACTGAGGAAGCTGTACTGGAACATCTAGAACAAGACTGTGGTACGCGCACAAAACAGGCGTCCAGGCAACTGCAAGTTTCTCACAGTCTTGTGTGGAATGTAGCTCATGAAAATCTTTTATACCCTTTTCGTCATCAACCATGTCAATGGTACGTTAATATTTCCATTCATGACTTAAATTTCTTAATGAATATACTTTTCACCGATGAAGCAAATTTTCCTAGAGTTGGTGCAGTAAACCTTCCTAATGTTCATTCATGGTCGGAAGAAAATACTCATGAAATATTTGTTTCAAGATGTCAACATAATTTCAGTTTAAACGTTTGGATGGGAATTATAACGAGCGTTCAAATAAAAACGTGGTCGAAGTTGGCTCTGACACATTGGACGTAGGGAGTAGCTTATAGCGACCAACTTAACCTCATTTCTCAACGAGCTGTATTCGCGAATGCAGCTAAGAGCTCGCCCTCTGGCGGTGACAAGTGATACTAGCGAAACAAGGTAAATATTTCTTCAGTGTGTGACATTTCGTTTTGTATTTTATTTAAAACTGTATTTAGTGTTCGTTTTTTGAACACTGTTATTTTAAGAAAATAGTGTAAGGAAAATTTCAGCAATTATGGATAGAAAGAAGAAACTGTCAAACTATTATTGTTCAGTTCAAGGTTGCTCTTCATGGTCCAAGAAAAATCCAGAATTAAGTTTTCATCAAACCATTGAAGAAATTTTCAAAATATTATTGCCGGTAGATAATACTCCCTGAATTTCATGAGGGTTGTTAGTAAGTAAGGGCACTAGTCTGCAGACATAATATACATTTCTAAATTTAAATTAACTTTGCTCAATTTTCCCATATAGTACCACATGATCAGCCTTAAAAACTGCCTCTCCTTCTAATATACAACAAAAGTTTTCGTTATCATATATGTAAATAGGAAATGTATTCCACAACGGATAAGTTCATAGTTATAACTTAATAAAATGTACATTACATTGTAATGCTAGAGACAAATAAAGTAGACATAAATACTTGCCTTAAAATTTATTTATGAAATATTTGAAACCTATAAAATAACACACAAGTGAAATAACCGCAGTCTGATAACAAAATTACTAATAATAATGGCAAATAAGACAAATGTTGTTCAAATAAATGTGTAAACGCGAACGGCAATGTCAAAATTACCTTGTTTCGGAGCTTACTGCTTTCGCCGCTTGGTGTGCTTGCATCTTAAAAATTATCGCGAATAGCAGCTGTCAGTTTCAATAACGTTAATGACTATATAACTTTATTTTATAGAATAAAGGTTTTTCAGAAGACCACATTCTCATATTCTGTGAGTTTACGTAACCACTTAAATGAAACCAGGCTTCATCAGAAAAAAAGGTGATATTATGAAGTTCACCGTAGTTGTTTAAAAACCATTCACAAAATACAGCCCGTCGCGGAAAATCAACTTCATGAAGTTCTTGCTGACAAGTTAAACGATAGGAGAACAAACACAAATCTTTTTTTAACACTGTGTGGCAGGTACCGACTGATACTCCCACCATTTGTGATAAAACACGTACAGAAGTTCTTGGCGCATTTTCCATTATTTGTTGAACATTTTCTTTTAATTCTTCAGTCCGCTTTTTAGGTCGGCCGCTTCCTTCTTTTCTTGTTACACTGCCCGTTTCACGAAAAACATTAACACAACACTGAACTGCACTTTGAAAAATTTTGTACTCAACAACGCCGGGAAATTGATTTTGAAATTCTATGAAACATTCCTCAATAGAATACTTTGATATTCCATCAATCTTGCGTCCATTTCTAAAGTTGTACTCTATGATAAACACTTTTTGTTCTTGAGAAAACACCATTTTAAACGCTTTTTAAAACGAAAATATTCAAATTGATAGCGGCGATATAGCGCTTTGACAGATGACGTTTAAGTTCATTTGCTATACGCTACGCCCTACATCCAAATTTTCAGAACCAACTTGACCACGTTTTTATTTGAACGCTTGTTAGAAAATACTCTAGTAGGCCCTTTTATTCTTCCACACAGGCTTGGAGCGGCCGAGTGTCTTTGATTTTTGAACGAAAATCTTCCAACATTACTTGAGTACTGTCGCTACATGTCAGGTGATATGCACGATGGGGCGCCTGCACATAGTAGACTTGCCGTTAAAGAATGGTTAAATTTAAATTACCCGAATCGCTGGATTGGTCGTAGCCGTGATGCCCCTGTTTGTTGGCCTGCACGTTCACCTGACCTAACGCCTATGGATTTCTTTTTGTGGGGGCACATAAAAAGTATTGTTTATGCCACTCCTGTTGCCTCGTTAGAAGAACTACGCTAAAGAATATTTCAGGCAGCAGATGACCTTTGCAATAACCAAGAACTGTTTGTGCGAGTACTTTATAACTTCAACAGACGTATTAGGTTATGCTTGCAGCAAAATGGAAATTATTTCGAGAATATTCTTTAAATTTAATTTAGCATTTCTTGTTTTTCGTTTGTATTAAATTTTATTTCAGATAAATAACTTTACCTAATACATGTCCCATAGTCATAAGTTATCAAACATTTTTCATTAATTAATAGCAAATTATTCTTAATGTTATTATTAAAATACCAGCTTATTGACAGAAAGAGTCAATTTATTAATATGATAAATGACAATTTATTTGTTATGTCATCGGCCTACTTTATTTTTACAAATTTTGCAATTACTCCTTTAGTGAACGATGACGCATCTAATTTTTTTACTAGAAAACTATCGGTTTTATCGAAAAATTACCAGACGTAAAAAAGTTGCGCAATAAATCAGTCTTCCCAATAAATATTTTTAAATAAATAATTTGCTTCATATAAAAAATTTCTAATAAAATATTGCAATGGGGTTGACTGTTTTACTCCTTTATAAAATACGCCAATGATCGAACAAATATTGAAAAGTTGTGTTTTTATTAGTAGGATGCTCAAACCAAGTGTAGCATTCCTCATGTTAAAGAAAAAAATTAAAATGTGAATTTCAATCCCCTCCTTTAAGAGGTCAATCCTCTTATTTTTGGCTCTACATTCACTGGTACCATTTTTGCTACTTCATGTAAAAATGCCCTATATAAACGTAATCTATGAATATGACACAAACAATAAATGTATTGTTATGTTATCCACTTCAAATAATTCAAAAAACAAATTTTTGTAACTATTTCTAAACAGATAAACAAATAGAAAACTACAAAAGTGGGTTAACATACCACGAACTTCACTGCACACTTAAGTAAATAAATAAATACAGATTCAATAACATGAGATAACAGAAAAGCATATATTGAGGTTAAGAATGTCGCCAACTTTCCTTTTATCTGACCTGCGGTCTTGGATCACTTTGGAGTAGATTGCTTTTTCATTAAAAATTGGTGAAACCATATTTAAATACACTTTTTCTTCATTTTTTAGTCCATGATGAGCTTGGCAGCGGCTCGCAACTGGCTAGACTGTACCGTTAAATTAGTATATTTTTGCCAGATGGTAATTCAAGGATACATGGTCAATGAATGTAATATAATTATGCTGCCTTATATAAATGGAGAAAACCTACGTACCCTAAAAGATAGATTAAAGAGGACTTCTTTTAATACTAATAACTTGTCAATTCCATTTTTGAGGTCCGTGATGGACGATAAATCAGCAACTAGTCAACTGTCTAGTATACTAACAGATTTGTTAGGAAGTAAAGCGTCCTCGGAAGTAGTGAAAGCGATAAATGATATGCCAATATTGACGGTTAGGACTACGATTAAAAATCACCGGAATAACGAAATTATTCCGTGGACGATGGATCAAGATGTGATAAATATTAGGAGTCGACCGGGAACAGATTGTATATTCGACTTAAATATATTTAGGGAGGGTTCTAGTAAAATGAACGTTAACAGCAAGAAGTTTAATAAACAGAAAGAGGAATTCTGGTTTCTCATATTTGTCGAACGAGACAACATGAATTTTAGGAAGTTTTCATTTTCAAGGAGGGCCAAAAGGATTGATTTACCGGTCCAACTGCCGCCTCAGAGAGGTATTTACGGAATGTTTGGTTCAAAACGCAAATATAATACATATTTTTTTTTAGGTGTATTTGAGTATAAGGTGATGATTATGAGTGACTGTTACATAGGATTTGACCAGACGATTAGTTATAGAGTGAGACTAGAGTAACGAACGACGTAATGAAAAATGCTGGGATTTGTTGAAATCTAGAGAATTTTTTAAATCAATTTTATTTATATTTATTGTGTAAACACTTTACTGTGGAATTTATAATGTGATAGTTGTTGATGAATTTTCACTTCACTATTTTTATTTAATTTTTTTAAATGCATCAAAATAAAGAAATTATGAATTTATCGTCGCATTTAATTTCTGAGAACACTGTAATAACGGGAGTGAACAACCAATAACCCAGGTAAGTAGGAATACAAAATATTTTATTCAGTTTTACACATACAGGGTGTCCTGATTTAGAAGTGTAAGGTGCAAGTTATTAACGTATACAGGGTGTTTCAGAAAGACCTGTAAATTCAGGAGGTGATAGTACAACAAAAATAAGAATTTTTTGTCTTATGAACTATGTTTATCTCCTCTTGTATTCGAGATATAGCGCGACAAAATAAAATTTTTTAAATATAATTTTTACGAAAATTTCCGAACTGCGAAATATTTTTATGAATTTTGGTATCCCAGGGTTTTTAAGGATGCCAAATACGTTGGTCTGATTATTTTTTGGATATTTCATAGAGGGCGCTAGTTATGCTACATTCGTATTACATTTTAAGTTCTAATTTTCTTAAGGTTAGGTTTTTTACCATTCGGGCTCCACGCTTTAGGCATGATTGTCACACTTTTCCACTTGCTGCCACGCGCAACGCCAAGCTACCCAAATGCCATGCTTTTTAAATTCGTTCACGAATTGTCCCGATTTTTACACACATTTACGCACATTTACAACACTGCACAGCATGACAAGATTTAAAGGCAGACAAAAAAAATAGGATGATTTTCTTAAAACCAATAGTGCTCCCAACTTGGAAGTATTGTGAAATTTTGTGTTTTCTTTGCCTCATTCCAATGCAGATTCAGAAAGAACTTTTAGTCTAATGTTTAACGCTTGGCGAAAAGAGTGAAATAAAACTGAAACCAAAACTATAGAGGCCGAGCTGCTAGTAAAATACAATTTCTCGTTTTCCTGTAAGGAGTTTAAAAAATACTTTGTTTCTTCTGTTAGAAAAAATTGAACAAAAGGTAAAATACTCGTGTCAAGTTTTTTAATTGTGAAAATGTTTATACTTGAGATTTATGTATGTATGTATTATTTAAGTTTATTGTTTTCACTGTTTTTGGTAAATATAAAATGTTGAGACATAATTTTATGCTTTTTCCCATCGCAACGCAACTAATCTGGCAACCCTACTAATGTACAAATTTATTTTCTAAAAATAATATACTCTTGTTAGGACTTCCTAATGTGGACGGTTTTCAAGAAAAAAGGCTTTTAATTATTAAACTCTTACAATATTACATTGTATAAAATAAGTGACTTTTCTCAAAGTAGGCTTATGTCAAAACTTATTGATGGATGTCTTGTAAACAACGCATACACTTTTAGTAATATTTTAAACTCTAATTAACCTTATATCAAAATTTTAGTGATTGTTAGTGGCTAGTTAGTAATGACTTTTTACTAAAATTTTGATATAAAATTAATTAGAGTTTAAAATATTACTAAGAATGTATGCGTTGTTTATGAGACATCCATCAATAAATTTTGACATAAGCCTACATTGAAAAAACTCACTTATTTTATACACCGTAATATTGTAAGAAGTTCAATTAAAAGCTTTTTTTCTCAAAAACCGTTCACATTAGGATGTTCTAACATTTCTAACAAGAAAATAAAATTGTACATTAAAAATTGGAGCCCGAATGGCAAAAAACCTAACCTTAAAAAAATTTGAACTTTAAATGTAATACGAATGTAGCATAACTAGCGCCCTCTATGAAATATACAAAAAATAATTAGACCAGCGTATCTGACGTCCTTAAAAACTCCAGACTACCAAATTTCATAAAAATATTTCACACCGTTTGAAAATTTTCGTAAAAATTCTATTGAAAAAATTTGATTTTGTCACTTGAAAACGAGGAGAAAGACATAGTTCATAAGACAAAATAATTCTTATTTTTTGTCGTACCCCCCTATATTTACAGGTCTTTCTAAAACACCCTGTATAAAAAATAAATGTATGCCAGATATATTTTATTTAATCAGATCCTACAATGTGTGTTTTGGGAAATTGTAAGCTCCTCAAGACTGCAAAATTCAAGTACCAATTTCAAAAAAATTGTTTTATATATTCTTTTACTTTAAAGTCCTATTTTTTTAATTAAAATCAAATATTAATTTAAAAAAATAATCAAAACAAGATTAAATAATTAATTAATATTATTATACAGGGTGTCCCGAAATTAATGGGACACAGAGCAAGGATAGATTCCTTACAACAAAATAGTGCGATATAGCTAAACTTAGCTTAGTCCATTAGTGTATAATAAAAAAGTTACAGGATGTTAAAGTTAAAATTTTGAATTCAAAATTCTTTAAATTTTTAGAAAGTTTTCAAAGAATTACTTTGATAATTTGGATTTGAGGGTTTTGTAAGTTCATGACAACGATCCCCGACTTAACTATGCTGTAGATGCTAGAGGTCGCTACAAAGTGTACTTTGTTGATAAAAATTGGTCATAACATTTTTCTCAATGTGTGTAGGAAAGTTCTAATAGAAACATATTATTTTCTTATATATTTTACACAAATAAGATATACTAACTTGTTTTATGTCGATAAATTTAACCGTTTTCAATTTATTTACCGTTTTTCCATTGGTTGCAATTTAATTTCAAGAAGTTTAAATATATACGCTGGTTTTATTAGATTACACATTTAATTTTTTTTTATCACGATACCTAATAAGTTTAGACTAAGTTTAGCCATTTTTATGTAAGGAATCTACTCTCGCTCTGTGTCCCATTAATTTTGGGACACACTGTACATTAATATAATAAAATTTATTTGAAATTAAAAAAAATTGTATTATCAATTTTTTTATACCATTATTCATTCCTCAAAATGCTACAAAATATTAATTTCTATAAAATCTATTGATATCTATTATTCTGGTGTATTTATTTCAATTGAATTAATTTTTAATTAACGTTACTAAAATGGGTAACTTTATATTTATTCAATTTTTTGTGTGATCAACCTTTAATAATTTGGAAACAATCATATTGACCTAAGTGAAAGAATGTAATGATTAGATTTGAGTAAAAATACAATTTTTAAAAAATTAACATCCGTCATAGCAGGCTTACAATTAATCTATTTATTAAAAGAACTCTCAATTATTAATGTACTTTTAAATTGTATACACCTTGTATACTACCAAAATTTTCAAACTGAAAAATTGAACCTTAAATATAAATTTCTAGAACGATAAAATAATTTTTTACTATGACGATTAGAAAGCATCTATCTACCAGAATTTAATGAAACAGTTTGTTTTAAAAACAACAGTCTGTTTATTATTGTAGATAATAAATGATAAATACATCTTATAACCTATTGAGAATTCATAAATTAAGATTTAAACCTAAATAAATTGCATGTTAAGGTACTTAATTGGTAATTTCTTAACTCGAATGTTGACTCGGGGTTAAGCCACCACTGTGTTCCGGACTATGTTTTTGTTTTTTCCTCTTCTTTTCTTTTTTCCTCTTTTTTCGTTCTTTATCTTCGTCGTGCCGTTTCTGCTTTTTATGTTTCTTTTCGTGCGTATCACTGCTTGCGTCTGTTATGGTCGTTTCTTGACTAGGTATACCTCCCTCCTTGTGTTTGTGCTTTTTGTGCTTGTTTTTATGCTTCTTTATAGGTGCTGTGTTGGTATATCGATACTGTTCAGGTAACTGAAAAACAACGTATACGTAGTTAAACAAGAAGTTTAAACAAATGTAGAAACTTACTGGCCCTGGATGTAATCGAAAGCCATCTAATTGAATATTGGTAAGTGGTAACAATTCTTTTCCTCCTATCGGAGGTTTTTCTATGACGGATCTTAAAGAGCTGTTGTCTTGTTGACCTGGAGAGTCAATGACTCCCGGTAAAGTTGGTAAAAAAGATGATAGTTGTTCTTTTAGTTTCTTGCCACTAAATTTACTATACGAATGTTCTAGGCCATAATAGGCCATCAAATTCGTAGCTCCTGTTAGTTCCGACTCCACTAAAAGCATAAATAACTTGATATAAATCCTGTGTATCTGTTTCAACTGTACCTACCTGGTGGTTCTTTCATCAAATAAAAAGGTCCACTTGGGACTATGGACGGGTTCTTTCCCAACAAAATTGTAGTTTTTAATGTTCCCGACGAATCCTGACGTGAAACAACAGGGGACCTGGCACCTCTTGGTGATGATTTTGGCGAATAAGGTTCTACTTTGCGAAACTGATCTCCCATCATCTTTTACTTCATCGTTTTATAAAAAATCTGCACAGAACATACCTTTCTGTGAAATTAGCCAAACGACTGCGATTACTGCTACGAGCGATTGAAATAAATTGTTTATTAACCAATCCAAAAACGTCGACGGCCGCAGGTCTACAGTCTACAGGTGTTCCGAAAAAAGGAACTTTCACAATCATGAAAATGAAATGTATTTATTTTTTAAGTCATCAATTACAATCGATCACATTGCTGAATCGAGTTAGCTATTGCTTCTTTTTTAGATAAATAAAGCTTGTAATAGTTCCAACAGAAAATTTATAACAAAATCATTGTAGAAAAACAATTACTGTGAAGTGAAAACGCGAAAGACTCCTATGTAGTGGTGGGCAAGATCCGCATCATACGTATAAATCATACGGATCTCTAGTGGGAATCGATTCATGCGGATCCCGATGCAATAATAATTTCGTATGTTTCGCATCACCGCATCAATGTAAGTTGAGATGTTGAGACTGAAGTGAAGTGAATCGGTATCAACTGATTCTCGTATGCGATACAGGAATGAGTAAATGGGAGGCGCACGCATACTGGGAATCAGTTCATACGTATACCGGTATAAAAATAATTTCGTATGTTCGCATCACCGCATCAATGCGAATTGGGAATGAATCGGTCTCAACACTCTCAACTGATTCTCGTGTCCGATACAGGTCGATGAGATACGATGCATTAGAAACAGTTTAGTGCATAGGAAACTAAATATTGAAATAAATTATATGAAATTGTGTAGTCTGAAACAAACTTATAATGTAAAAAGTAATTGTCAGAGTGATGTGTATTTCGTATTTAAATGTTGAATCGCTTGACCGAAAATAAATTTAAACATTAATTAATTTGAAAATAATTTGATGCTCAACTTGAGTTCAAATATATTATTGCTTCGTTTCTACTTAAGTTCAATGTTCATCGTTCTGCTAAAAAATGAATTTATAGATGATTGCAAAAAATTTAACGGGAATGAGTGAGCGACAAGCCCACACATTTACAAAATGTACAAGTACAAACTGTACTTGTACATCCACAGTGAATACGATTCCCTGATGCGGATCTTTTGATGCGGATCTTTATGTCGATACATTTCGCATCATGCGGATCATTAAAAAGATCCGTATTGCCCATCTCTACTCCTATGAGCTGATACGCGACGCAATTTCTTTACTGCATATTGGTACCAGTGTGACCATATATTTTTTAGCGAATCTACTGTAAAATTGCAGAAAATCCACTAAAATCTACCAACATAGTAATAAGAAATTACTAAAAATCTACTTCACTGTTATTTGATTATCTAACTAGTAAAAGCCATAGATTAGGACAATATACGTTAATTGCATATTGATTAATATTTCAATTAACGGTTATAAAGTAAAAATAGATAATTAGAATAAAAATGTAGGAGCCAACATATTTTTTTGCGCCATCTATTAATGAGTACAAGTATTCGCGCCGTATTGCGCAGACCAAAATGGAGCTAATTTTAAAGAGGGGAATTTGAATTGATGTTTTTATGAATGTGTATACGAAATAAATAGATCAAATAATTGAAATTTAACCAAAAGTATATTCCGTTTAAAAACCATAACCATACATATAAACTAAAAATAACAAACAAATATAAAAATGCTAATAAAATAATGCATAACTTTCAAACATAACGTAACTATATTATTCTATATTCCATATAATTCTATATTATTTAAGGTTATGTTATGTCATGTCAGCAAGTCACGGAACACGGTTCGGAAAATTGGTCATGGTCAAATAAAAGTCTAATGTGAATCTGTAGCACTCTGTATTCTGTGGTCAAAAGGTCAAAGCAAAGTCTAGCTTGTTCGCTTCGGATTTGGAGCGAGCGTACCACGCGCCGAAGCTGTGAACGGTGGTAACATGAAACAATAAATTAGCCGCTTGCTTGACTAGGTTGCGCAAAATATGACCAATCGCGGCACAAAAATGTTTACTATATATCTACTAAAATCTACTGTAGATTTTTTACCTACCAAAAATTTCTATATTTCGCTGAAAATCTACCGAAAAAGTAGAAATCTACTAAATATGGTCACGCTGATTGGTACCACTCGTATACAAACAAATGAAACGATAAATAAACGTCACAAACAAAGTAATGTCGTTTTGTATATTGGTACAACTGTTTACCAATATCGATATAAGGGTGCGTTCGGATTACTCCGATAATTATTTATTTCGATTTATTAAATATTACGTATTTCTTGAGTAAAGGAATTATACATGTGGAATTATAAAGGCTATTCCATTTAGTAAGCAGGCGTAATTATAATGTTTGATAGACAGGAATTTCAATGAAGTAAAAAAGGAATAGTACTTCTTCTTTGTATGGTGTATAAGCAGCGGTGTAAATACTCCTTTACGAGTTTATCGCTCTTTGAACGAATCCAGTGCGAAATACGCATGCGTAGCATTTGTCAATCACACGTCTTTTATCTATCTGCTACAAGTATTTTATCGCAGTTTATCTCAGCTTGTATGTTGGTTATTATTTTTATTGTTCCGTTTATCAGATTCAGCAGTTTTTAATAAACACAACTAGTTCTCTAAACCAATTCGTCGTGTAGTGACAATCTGAAGCAATTTAAATAGGTAAATACCCTATTTTTAGCAATCAATACTTACAAATAAAAAAAAACATTACTTTCCTGTTCCTAATATCAAATTAACATTATCAACAGGCTGCAAATATGTCGCTGTATCCGAGCTTAGAAGATATGAAGGTTGACCAAATGTGTAGGGCACAGATCAGTCAAATGGGGTTGCAAACTGATCAAGCACCTCCACCTTATCCTACACCCAACCTTAGTAACATGCCGATGCCTTCAAATGGATCACCACTGTACCCTGCTTTGGGTGAATATATGGGCCTCGAGTTAAGTGAAGCAATTATAGCAGAAAATATGCCGGAGTATTCTCAAGTAGCGCTGTTACAGCAGGTGAGAAATAAACTAATATTGAACTGAGTATTTTACATATAGTTTTGAAATTATTTTGAAGAAATATAAATTACTATACATATTATGTATTTGGTGTACCTTTTTCAGTACACCAAAAAACTGTATTTTAGTAGTGAAATATTCTGAAGTAATATGTATGAGTCATTTAACAGTATTTTATGCATTTGGATTTACCAAACTGACTGGAGAAATTTTATAATTGAATGACTCATTTAATGATTATTTATAAATTGATATGATAATTATTTGCTTATTTTTCTCCCACAAGAAAGATAAGGAATATTGTTTTATCTGGCCAAAAAATAACAGTTTAAACTATTAATTTCATATATAACATTTTTTATAAAGCAGAATAGTACTAGCAAATGAAATTAAAATAAACCTGCTCTAGTAATAAATATGCAAATATAAGAATTAAGAGAATAACACTTTTCTCGACAGCTGATTTAGTAATTTCAGACATTCTCACAAATCAGGTGGATTGATATTTATGTAGTTTACATGGGCGTAGGTAGGATTTTTGCTTGGGGGTGGGCTTTGAGGCTAAAAAAATTGTTAAACGTAAAACAAGTTTTATTCGTTTGCTTCAAAATTATCTTTCATTTCTAGACTCAAGTAATAATCCCTTCTGGCAACAGTTCAGCCCTGATAGCGCCTGTGTCGGGACAATCTGTAGGATTGCACAGGGCCCAAGTAACCCACGGCGTCCGTGAGGTAATCCTCTGTAAAAACCAGGGTGGCAAAGTGGGAATACGTGTAAAAGCCATCAACAACGGCATTTTCATTTGTGTGGTAATAGACAAGTCTCCAGCAGCGTTAGCCGGTCTCCGATTCGGCGACCAAATTCTGCAGATAAACGACGTAAGCGTTGCTGGTTTTTCCATGGTTAAAGTCCACAACATGTTCAAGAAAAGTTCCGTAAACGGTATAAAAGTGGCGCTACGCGATAGACCTTTTGAACGAACCATTACCCTTCATAAGGACAGCACGGGACATATTGGATTCCAGTTCAAGAATGGTAAAATTGTGAGTTTGGTGAAAGATTCATCGGCTGCCAGAAATGGGGTACTCACTGAGCACCAGCTTTTGGAGGTTGACGGACAAAATGTGGTTGGGTTGAAGGATAAGGAAGTAGGTAACATTATCGTGAAGTCTGGGCAGGTTATTACCATTACGGTCATTCCTAGTTTCCTCTACGATCATATGGTTAAGAAGTAAGTAATACCATTTAATATTACATGTTCCAAATCATATCTTTTGTCGAATTGCTATAAAAACTAACATTAAAAAGTAAATTTGTTTAAAAATGGACTTCATAAAAATTAAATATCTTGGAGATTACGGTAAGAAGAATAAAGAACCTTTCTTTACGGTTTTGTATATCGAGAAATTTGGGTTTTAGTTTTTAAAATTATTTCACAAAATAAGCTATAAACATTCCTTAATAAATTGCCGCAAAACATTACTCATAATTTACTGTATTTTTAACTTTATTATCTTTTACAATACTATTTGCAAATAGCTTATTCTTTTATGGAATCTCAGATGTTAGAAATTAGCATTTTTACAATTAAAATCAGATGTCACCAGCTTTCCATTCATTTTTTATGACTAATAATAATTTGATTATCAAACAATTTTTTTTGGAATACTTATATTTATAGATTGTAGATATTTTTTTGACTTTAGAAAGATTTATTATGATATTACTGGCTTTATCTTCCTTGATAATAGTTTTTATTTGTTTGATTATTGCGAACTAATAAAGCTGGTTACGTACGGAGAGTGATAATGTGTATAAGAAAATATTCCAGGTCGAAGTGTACTGTTTTGTTTTTATGTTGATACGTTCAAGTGTGGCGTAATGTTAATAAAAACATAAGGATCGGCAAGAGAGGTGCACGATAGTCTTGAACCGCTCATTACATTTGAACAAAGTTTTTGTCGTTAATGTCCTGTATTTTATCGAATGTGATATTAAAGCTCGTGTCATTTTAATTAGATTTAGTACGTATGTACTTGCATAATGTAATCCACAAATTGCTGATACTATTACAATATGTGTGTAGTGGATAAAAGATTCTTAGGATCGATATGACCTCATTGTATGAATAATCTAACAATTTTACTTGTTTAAATCAGTTAATGACGCAAAACACAATTTGATTAGTTCTCTGCTAATTCAGATTTTTCTGAACTGGACTGTGTTTTTTAATTTTGAATCCGGACCATGTTATCAAAATTTAACTGATTTTTTTTAACCATTTTCAAAACAAAGCCCTTATATTATACTTTTATTACCTAAGTCAGAAAAATGTACATATTTTTTGTATTATCTCCAAACGCCCATTTTGCGTTTCCATATACTACACAGTACACACTAATTTTTTTTCACTACACTAGAAAATTTGGGATAAACATGGTTTAATGAATTGAAATATGAAAAAACAAAATAATACACCTCATATATTGGCACATTAGAAAAGGTTTGCATTTTAAAAAGTATTATGTAAATTTTATGCTGCTCCATTCATTAATAAACCTATTTTTAATAGTATCTGAACATACTTGCAATTCTATTGTGTGCCATCAAAATATTGCGAGACAAAAGGGTACAAGTACAAGCTTTAGTCATATTTCAAACAATGCAATAAGTATACCAGTTTTATTGACTTAATTTCTTCCAAATGCGTTATTTTACTGATACATACACAGGGTGTCACGCTTAAATGTGATACAAGCCTGTAGCTTCTTTATTTTGTGCCCGACTTCAAAAATTTTGTTTTTAGAATAGGATAAAAATAACTCTACCTAACTGTAATGCTGCTGTTTTCATGAAAGTAATATACGGCCAACTAGGACGCGTTTTTTTGACGTCACAACAGCTAATTGGTATTAGCGATTTTTTTTCCAAAAAACATTACGTATTCTCATTCAGCATCCCTTAAAATGTTTCACCAAGTTTCATCAAATTCGATACATCTTCCGACGAGCACTAGTTGGCATTACATACAGAATTACATATTTCACTTTTATTGGAACTATCCCACTTCTGATATCTTATAAAATTTAAAAATTGCGAGGTTTAATATCACATTTAATAAAATATAAGAGGATGACAATACACACTTTGTCCTCAAGTAGTGAACTGTTCAAGAGTAAGTTAGGTCCCTCTTTCTAAGACTATCACACGCTTTTCTTGCACATCTTTATGTGTGTATTAACATTGCCCATATGTGAACGAATCAAGATAAAAATGAAAACCAGTACTTAGATAATATATTATTGTTTTTATGAAAACTAATCAGGATATTCTCCTTTCAGGATGGCTGGTTCTCTTTTGAAAGATTTGATGGACCACTCTATTCCTACTTTATAAGACTATATATTATAACACGATTTGTCCTTAATATATAATCTCGTATAGTAAGAAATTCAATCGTCTATAATAATTATGACGCTGTATGTCAATTTATATTTTACTTTTAAACAACGATAATGTACCACACACAGAGCCACAACAAAAGACGTGAGGTTTTCACAATTTTTTTTTTTGGACTGGTCATTCATGAAGTTAAACCGTAACACCAAATGAATTTGACAGTTACTTGGACTCTACGACCACCCACAATGCAATACTTGTTTTATGCGACATATCTTTTTATATATTCCATATATAGGCTATTCTTTTTATCTTTATATTACGACTGTACTGAGAGTTTGAACCTAAATCCTGCATGCGATCTGGTTTAATTTAAGAAGAAACATTATGATTTTATGATTGTAATCCTAAGTTTATTTTTACTATATAAAAAATATTATATTTTATGTATGTAAACCCTGCATGTTTTTATCCGTCTATGATAAATATTACGTATTATCTCTAATGTTATAAAAGAATGATGGTTTTGTGATTGTAATGTGCCAGAGAAGGGTTGTCAGTTAGTTTTATATAAATAAAATTATATTATTCAGCGCTTATTTTATTCACTCCATTCCATTTGGCCCTGATACTACTTATAGACAAGGGTGGATTTGTCGAAATATCCCACTTCTTGTATGTGAGAGGGGACAAGCTAATTTTTGCTGGAATACCTTCAGTACAACTCATATAATAAAAGTGTAGATCCCTAGATCTGGGCGAGGTCCAGAACATTTTCAAAATTGCAAAAATGTTTAAAAAATTAAAATAAATACCTATTTTATCTGTTTTTTTTCGTATACAGGGTGTTCCTAATTAGTGTCGCAACGGAAAACTATAAATTCGTCTTGAAAAAAGAAATATTTTATTCCTCCGGGCTTTTGTTTCTGACTTTTTTTTTAGTTTTTTGCCAATATCTTGGGAACCGTTTGAACTACAAGACTGAGCTTTTGTACACACATTATCACTATTAATAGCTACTTTTTCGCACCCTTCTCGAATTCAATGGACGTGCCAGTGGTGGAGATTTTAAGGTATCGTAAGGGTTTTTCCCCCCTTAACTTTTACGTCACTTGAAAAATTGACATTTGACATCAAATTTTCAAGCGCCAATGAATTTTGCACAAAAAGAGAGAGACTCGGTTCATTCCTCTAAAGTCAACCGTTTTCAAGAAAAACGACTGAACAAAAACAAACATTTTGCAAACGTTTCGAAAATCTTTTGTAATTCAAAAAATAGGTAGTAATAATTAACAATTTTAACGAAATTTAACAACAGTATTGGCAAAAAGCTAATAAAAAAAATTACGACACCATGTATCTTGAAAACTAAAGCCAGGAGAGAAAAATGGAAGAAGAGAAAAATGTTTCTTTTTTCAAGAGGAATTTACAGTTTTCTGTTACCACACTTATTTAGGAGCACCCTGTATCTTGAAACCTACGCATTTTGGAAGAATATTGGAGGAAAAGTTTTAGAATTTAATTTAAAAAAAGCAGTTTTTTGGATAATTTTTTCACATAGAAAACCGCTCAACCTTTCAAGTGGTTTTTAAAAAATTGAAATCCATTGATTAGGACAGCCACAGTAAATTTTTAAACACTCTTTTTATTTTTAAACAATTAGATTACATTTATCAATTTGCAATATAGTTTTTTCAAAAATTATAATTTTAAAGTACTTGGAGTTTTTTTTTACCAGTTAGAATGCCCTCGGAGCAATTCAAACATTTTAAAAAAATTATCATTATTGCTTTTTTTTCATCAATTATTGCTATTTTGCAACAGCGGCAATAAATTTAAAAATTTTTAACTTACAGTATATTGTGCAAAATCCAATTCTAAATTTTTTTTTCCCCTTCAATATTCTAAAATGCACAGGTTTCAAGATATAAGTAAAAAACTCAGATAAAATGGGCATTTTTAAAAAATTTTTTAAACATTTTTGCAATTTTGAAGATGTCCCGGACCTCGCCCAGATCTAAGGATCCACACTTTTATTATGTGAGTTGTACTGAAGATAATCAAGATAAAAATTTGCTTGCCTCCCTCCTCACATCCACCTCAAAACGGATCCCCCTGATCTATTACTGTTTAGACATATTCCCGCACATATTTTTTTAACGAAGAAATTAATTTTAAACACTATAAATTTATTGAAACAGTCTACAAATATTTCAATACGAAGCAGTTTAGCTTTATAAAAAAAATTAGAAACGATAATGCAAATTTTATTTTTAATAACATTAAAAAAAATGTAAAGTTCTCAAAATGTCATAGAAGCATCTGAAAAACAAAAAATTAAAATGAGAAAAAAAGTGTAGATAAGTAATTTTTGAAAAATTTACCAAAAATATACAGTGTGTTCCAAAATAAACATGACTTTTCAAAAATAAGTATTTTTAGTGAGGCCATCTATTGGTAATTACATGCGTTGGAAAGGTAGGTCCTTCACTGATGAACTGTCAAAATTTCATGACGCTTGGACAAATAGAAGCAGAGTTATTGCAATATGAAGTAACAGTATGTTTGTGTCATCAGTACAAAAATGAAAATTGAACAAAGAACTACTATTAAGTTTTGTTTCAAACTTGGTAAAACTTATACCGAAACGTTTTAATTGATGAACCAAGTTTATGGTGATGATTATTTAACCCTTGGCAGAGTTATGAGTTACCTCGGAAACCTCAATTTATCACATTTCGGTCGAACGTTTGGGCTACCGAAAAGTGTGTGCACTGTTTGTTCCGGGCAAGTTGACTGATGACGAAAAATTGCTCAGAATTCAACATTCGAATGATGTCATCAAGGAGGCCAAGGATTCCGGATTCTGGAATAATTTAGAGGGTGACTGCAGCACTTAGGCCTCATTGGGCCTCTTGTGCATCTTCCCAGCTCTTCTGAGGCAGATCTCTCTGATGTAGGCCATAGAAGGCCACCTTTCTCCTAGAACGGATTCTCTCGTTGACTAGACAACAATGAACTCGCAGAGTTCATGGAAAACTGTTTCGTCTTTCTGCTCATAACCTCTACAGAGAGTGTTTTGAACTTCCTGATATTGTAGACATGTTTCCTTTGCCAACAGTGTCTGGTCTGAATCCAGAAAGGATATAAACTTCCTTTACAACATTGTGACTGGTGATGATGGTGTTTTGAATATATTCTAGAAACCAAGCACCAGAGTGCCAAGTAGAAGGTGTCAGACGAGCCAAAATCCTAATAATCTCGTTTAGAGAAGTCAAAAGCGAAGACAATGTTGACTTGCTTTTACGATTCCAAGAACATTTGCACAAAGAGTTCATTCCACCAAGCCAAACCATTAATGCACAATTCTATCTTGGCATTTTGAAGCGTTTCGTGCATCGTATTCGGCCATAATATCGAACAGAAGGAACACCAACGTTTGTTGTACGATATTGCGCCATCTCATCGACTGACACTTCTGACCGATTTATTGACTAAAAATCACATTTTAACTGTCAACCACTCCCCGTATTTGTTCTTATTTTTAAAAAGCCCCGTTTACTTTGGAACACACCTTATATTATGGAGATCACATGGTGTTTTTTCAATTGTGGTTTTGGTTTTTAAAATTTTCAAAATCTCAAAAATAAATATTTGAAAAATATTATCAAAAATCAGCTTATAAATGTGTAAAATTTTCAAATTATTAATAATTTTTACGTACCCTTTTCTTTAATCCTCTTGAGCCTCTCGGCTTTCTCCAAAGGCCTCAAAAATTCCTCAAATAAGCTAACAGCTTTCAACAAACTAGTCTTCTTGTAATCTTTTATTTTCACTTTTTGGGTAAACGTTTCATCGGTCTCCATAAGCGATTTCTCTTGCTCTTTAGTTTTCTCATCGTAATTATTAATTTCATCAACTAACAAGCTAAAAACAAAGAGAAATATAATAATTTAGCAGCTTGTTTAACAGGAAAATTACTTTATCGTCGGTACGGTGTGCGGATTAAAGTTGTCCACCATTCTGGGATTGAACGGGACAGATACTTTCCCGCTCTTTGGGTGAACACAAAAGGGTGCTTTTAGTAAGTGGTTGAAACCTTTTGTTACGTTTATATCAAGCCTGGGGTACGAGTACTGAAGCTTAATCTCTTCTCTGAGGTTTTTTAAATTCCGTGGTATTTGATTCTGGAATATTATGTATATAAAGCGAGTAACTAAAACGATTGGCCAAATTTTAATGGTCATATCAATAAAAAGGTTCCCACAAATATGTGACCTGAAACCATTCATTTTTACGGGCTATTCAATTTGAGTAAAAATTGATTTTTTTTAATTACAAAAAATGGCTGAAGCAAATTTAGTATTATTCATAAGGCTTTTTTCAACTATTTTTTGCAGCTTGAAATAATTTCCATGAATTTTGAACACTGTATATTGCAAATTAAGAAAAAATTACGTTTGCGGATTATTTTTTTTTAATTTCTTGAAGTAGAATCAATCATTAAAGTTTGGTCAAACATCCTGTATATCTTAAATAATATTATATTTATTACCTTATGAAGTAGATTGATAAAAGTTTCCTCAAACACTTGCCACCTTTCAACGGAGGTTTTGACATTTTTCATAGGCATTTTAAAAAAGGTTCTAAGGTCTTCTTCGATAATGCTTAAAAATTTGTTCAATCTTTCATCTGTACCTAGTATGTCTTGCTCTTTAACTATACCCTCTATGAAATATTTATCAATAATTGTTAATGCTCTACTAAAATTGAATTTTTAAATATTACATATACTATATAAATCTTATGTTAAGTTAAAAAGTACTATTTATTGAACGTTATGTTTACTTACACCAATGAAGCATGTATCCTATCCCCCGGTAGTTCCACCTTTTTCATTTTATTTGTCCCCCCTCGAATAACTTGCAAGTACTCGGCTATAGCCGATCGTACATTATCATCAAGTTTTCTTGCTTCTTCATCAGCTACCCAACAATGTATGCCTCTTCTTCCAGAAAAAACCCATAATATATGTTTGTATCCAAAATCTTCCCTCAGAGCAGTATCCAAAATTTTACAAGCTATTGCCATGAATTTCCAACATTTCGTACAAACGTCAGTTCCTGAACAACATGTTCTTATATCATCATAATCGGTCATATCGATATCAAAAACTACCTCTTTCTCTATAGGTTGTAATACTCCTAGCGGGCCACGATCTTTGGGTTTGGTGTAGTAAACTGCACCGATATCCATTTTTACAGGATATCTCTTCTGTAATTCATTCACGAAATCCTCGTGAGTATCAAACGATTGAAAACGGATGTATATGTCTCCAAAAAGTGTAAATGAGATTTCTCTTCTTGCAAAAACAGCAGCATTGCCTAAATAAATTAGTATTGTTATTTGAATAATTCAGCAAAATAAGGGAAATTATTACCATAACTTAACCATCTGTAAAAGGGTAAATGAGGAAACAATCTTCTATAGTAAAGCGGTAACAAGTCAGGTAAATGATCTTCGTTAAATTCTGTGCTGCTCATGTTAAATAAAAACAGTTATAATTCAGACACTTTCTTTTAAATACTTAGTTTTGCATATCAAGCTGGTTAACAAAGAGATAAATTATTAAATAATAATTTACTTTTATATGATTTACGATTTACCGCCAATATTTTTAAGGTTACAAAGTTCAAAGTTTATAACACAGAACATTCTTCTTCCTCTTCTTTTTCTTTTCGGCCTTCATTCAGAGGTCATTAGCCAGCTTTATTATGTAATAATTATAACCATAGAAAATTTAGGAAATTATAAATACTAAACGTTCTTATTCTTCTTCTGATATTCTATAATGTTCATTTAGTTTTTAATTTGTAGTTTAGTCTTAGATTAGGACTCTCTTTCCTAATCTAAGAGTTTAGTTGTAGGTTATTTGCATTTAAAATTATTTTATAGTATTTATAGCAGTTTTTGAAAGTGGTATAATAAGGTAGATGGTGTATTGACGATAATAAGCTTTTGTCGTAAACGTCATCAAGAGCAAGCCTAGAGTAAAATAAATATATTACAAGCAAGGTTAATTGACAGTTGTCAATTAAATTGTTTAAGCTTCTTGACGTTTCGAAAGACTTTCTTCTTCGGAATAAACTTCAGACCAGACGACTAAATTTCTAGTTTCAGAGCTATATCTAAAAAAGGGAGGGTTAGTCTCTAGGTTACCGCCAGGATCAAGAAACGAAGACAACGACACACAGACACACACACACATACACCACTCCCCATACCCTCCTTACCCCTCCCCTCCCGCGCTAGCCTAAGGGCCACCTTAGCAAAGCGCATCCCAGGCTGCATAGCCGCACTACCCTACCCAACCATACCACACAAACATGACACCACCCCGGGGTTTACACAGGCGAGCCGGCGAAGCAAGAAGAGCGCCAGAAGAAAGGGCCCTAGCCGGCGGGGCCCAGCCAGGACAAAAGGAGGTCCCACAAAGCGCCTACACCGGCCGCATTTGCGGTCGGGGTAGACGACGGATGGGGCCCACCTACGAAGGCTGTCCAGGCCTACACGAGATGAGGCAGGATAAAGAGGGATAATCCCCCTCGATCCCAAATCATTGAGGCCAATTTCTAGCCATGGAATAATGGCGGCGAGTCTCTAGATATTTCATGAAGATATACATTGAGAAAGACTGTACAGCAAGATATACCCATATGAATAAATTATTACATTTAAATTTACCGCCATTATGGTGCAGCAACATCTATTAGTCAGTAGAATTAGAGGTTACTCTAAGTGTGTTTCCCATGCAGTTTTGCGGCCTGTGGAGTGTATCGTTTGCCACACCAGCTACAGATGGCGTACTCTGCCGCTGCTGGCGAGAGAAAATACAAAATAAAATTTACCCTTGTGGATATACCTACGTACACTGTTAGTTAAATATTAGTTTAGTTTACAAGTGCTAGAAATATTTGAAGCATTATGACAAAAGATAACTTTGCTTATACCTACTTTGACTATAATAATTTGTATTCGATTGCGAATGCGTAAAACAGATGTGCAACATCTAAAAAAAATAAATTACATACAACATTTACGAATGGTATTGTGATTAATTTAAACGAATAATTCAGGGTTCTGAAATGCATTACGCAATCAAATAATGATTAGAAAAGTGACATTTATTTTTTAGCCATGTTAATAGGATTTAAAGCTTTGATAAGGTTTCATCTATTATTAGATTTCAAGTAGCCTACCAATGCGAATAAGACAATTTTCTCTCAATGTAGGTGTGATAATCACATCTATAAATCGAACAATACCTTTAAATGTATTTAAGAGCAGCAACGACGTATTTTTTAATAATTTTCTTGACAGAGTTTGTTAACAGCCAGTTCAATGATATATGCGGTTTAAACAATGGAAAAAGATTTTATTTGGAGCATGGTGAATCCGGGTTTATGGTTGCAGATTATAAAAATAATGTTTGGCACGAACGAAATAAAAATGTAAGTGCCGGCAATAAGTGTACTTTAGAATTTGTAACATGTCCATCTTGTATTGTTAATATTAAATTTAGGTAAGTGCATGATTATAGCTAGTTGTGCTAGCTGTATAGAGTTCTCGAGAAAAAGTTACTTTTAAAGTTTTAAAGTTTACCTATTTTATCTCTCGTTAAATACTATATTAGTAGATAAGTATGACGGACTTGATATTTTCTTGTAGGGCATCTTCTTGTTGCAATTTAATAAAATTCTATGCTTTGCTTTACTTTTTTAATTTTAGATTTTTTTGGTCAATAATTGACAAAATTTTCCATTGAAGTTAATAATACGATTGTTTCAGTTATTTAAACATATCAAGAAACTGCGGAAAAGCTTCCGTTTTAGACACTTGCGGCTGTGATTATGTTTGGATTTACGAACCACCTATTGAAGACGCATCAGGCGAACAATTTTGCGGAAGATTTGTTAAAAATAACGTATCAGAATTAAATTACGTCAGCCAAACCCGTACAGTGGCATTGACATTTATTTATAACACTGAATATGGACATGCATTTTCCCTGGATTATTTCGTTTTGCGTAAGTTTTACTTTTGTCCAAAAAGCAAACCAAATTTTGGTTTTTATGTTTCCCTAGGAAATCGAATTCAACTCAATGGCTATCCGAAAATTGGAAGCGTCAATAATGCCAGCCAGTACATATCTTCCCCATTTTTTCCTCACTTATATCCCATTGACTTAAGTGTGGAATATGTGATTAAGTGTGAGTCTCTCATTGCTTGTCGAGTAAGCCTAATTTTCACCGATTTCCTCATAGCAGACTCTTCAATAATTGAGGTAAATTAAATATACGCACCAGATGTTCCATTTTAATGTAATGGTTTCCGAAATGGAGTTTTCATTTTAAGAGTTTAATGCTGCTGTCAAAATAATGCGTTACACAAAAAATCTTCCATTAAAACCTGGTACACCCAAAAACGTAGCAAAACTCTACTCTCTGAATTCTTAGTTAATATACTAGGTGTCCGCAATATAAGTGCCTTGATAGTAAAGATTATAATTAACAAAGAGGTTCTATAGAACCCAAACATTTTCGAGAAAAAGCAGTTTTTATCGAAGTTTGAAAAGTTGAGGGTCAGTGATTAAGACAGTCAGTTCAGTAGAAAGTGATTCTTAGTTAATAGTTATCATAGATTTTAGTTGTTGATATTACTGTTAGTAGTGTATTGTTTAAGTAATTGTGTTTATAGTATACATACAAGCTTAATATAACTCTTACATTTATGGTATGTATCCCGACAAAGGTTTACCCCACGCTAGATTTAGATGCTGGCAGTGTGATTCCTCGCCTTGAACGAAATTCACGTGCAGGAAGACAAGCTGTTACTAGATATTGTTGGCGATGATTAAACTGATGTACCTATTTAAAATTACACTATGTTGGGATGTCAGTCAGTCACAGTGAATCATTTAAATTTTTAGAAGCAAATCGCAATAAGATGACGTTTACTCGACGAAATTTTGTTACAGGGTTAGCCTAGTATATTAACTTTGTAAAATTACTTAAACTTTTTAATTACTTAAACATGCTGTTGTCAAATTAAACAGGTAATGTTTAGGTTTCTGTTTTAAATATCTTAGAATTTAATCGCTTAAGATGTTTGCATTCTGCTACATATTGAGCAGACAGCATTTCTTTCGCGAATATATTGTTTATGTTTGTCAAATTCTGATGTGAATATTTCTAGTTCTTTGATTGGAACGGACAAAGAATGTATGTAACTTCCGGAAATGTATTTAGGCCTCCCACTATTATAAGTACAGGCCCTTCGTTGGTCGTGCGATTCTATGCAAATGGGGCGTCGGATTTTGGATTTAAAGCTGCTTATTCATACATTTTGGGCAACTTAAACGATCTTACTTTTACACCTAATATTGGTAAGTATTATGCGTACCTTTCCGCCTTTTTTTTATGGAATATTTTAATCTTTTATATTTAGGTTGTGGTGGTTTCGTTAATAATTTGGGCGGTGCAATCACAATGATGAATATGGTGGAAGAAGGTACCAAATTTTTCGACTGCGTGTGGATTATAAAGCCTCCTGAAATTCACCATCATAAAAAGACCCATCTGTACGTAAAAGTTGTAAATTTTACGGACTTCGGTAAGTAACACGATATACAGGGTGATTCAGTCATAATGTCATTAATTTTAAAAGGAGATAAAGAAAAATCACGATACTTTAACCCCCTTTTCAGGCTGTTACTGACCGGCTGACATCAGCCGGTTATTCACAGTATTGCGCACGGTTACGATATGAACAAGGCGCCCTAGATGCAACGTTGTCATATTTATATATTTTCGCTCATATTAGATACTATTATTACAATTTATCATTTTTAATATTATTAACGTTTTCACGTTTTATAATTTATTATGTTCAATAAATTCACAGTTTTAGTATTATGTTCAATTTATTATTCAATATGCAGTTACGTATAACCAAAGTTTACATAATAAATGTAAACTTTAGTGTAAATGTAAACTTTGGTGTAACCTAGGTAGGTACTTATTGTTTTTGAGAAAGTAATATGTTTTGCCAGCACGAGTAAAACAGCATTCATCCGTCCAGAGCACTTTCTTAATAAATTTAGGTCCTGCCGCACTTCGATTTAGGAACCAATTGCAAAATTCAAGACGATTGGGGAAATCAGCTGATTCAAAGGCTTGAACTTTTTGAAAACGGAACGGGTTGAGTGAATTCTCGCGCAATATCCGCCAAACTTTGGTTTGTGATGTCTCCAATCGCCTTGAAATTGTCCTTGTGGAAATAGTAGGCTGCTCCTCGACTAAATTTAAAACAGCCTTTATCACATTTAAGTCATTTTGTCGATGTCCTGCACGTTCTCTGCGCGGTATGATCCGCGGTCTTGGGAAGTTCTGTCTATCAAGGAAACGTCTCCGGTATTCAATTGCAGCGGCATTTGCGTTCTGTACACACTCTCCGTATAAAATCACCATATTCGGCATTTGTATATAAAACCATCACGACCGACACTTCGAACACAGACAATTTAGCGTATCGCTACAGACTGCTACTTAAATGCTGGAAATTGGCAACCCGAAATGGAAGCAGGGTCTCCTTAGCCGGCTTCCAGCTATAAAATTTAGCGTGGTAACTCTTCTACTTAGTAATAGGCGGCAGTTCCAGCGGTGGCTTTGTTGCCAAATAATAACTGCTAAATAAATTTAATGCTTTCAATTATGTAATTAAAGAGATATGGAACTTATCTTGTGTTTGGAAATCACATTTGCCTTAAATGTTAAATAAAATAAATCAAGTTAGAATTAAAACTATGAATTTACCTAATTAATTATTTATTTTATATCACCTTGGAATGGGAAAATTCAAAAACTCGAAAGTAATGTTTTTAGATTTGTGCGTCGACTTCCAATATGGTACGATATCAAAACCTATGTTTAAAAAAATTGCATTATACAGATTGTGTATCCTTAGATGGGTACTGCCTCTTATTGTTGATTTCTTTAGATAGGTAAATAATTATTTATTGACACAAGTGTTGCATATTATGGATGTCATTGGTAGTGCCCATATTTGTGACACAAGGTGTTCAAAAAAATTAACACAATGTAAAATTGCTGGAACCTCAAGGAGTAGTTGAATACGAAATTTATTTAAAAAAAAAACAACAAATCATCAATCAATACAGAGATAAGATAATGCGTTCGCTACTGCTGTTGCAATTTTTAACTAACTAACTTTTTTGTTTTTCGACATACTGACTTCGGACCGTTTCCATTCAACGCAGAACGGACAATCAGAACCAGAGTAGTGGGGAGATTTTTTTAATTATTTTTTCAATTCAACGCACCGTTTCCGAATTATAAGACCTTTTTTACTGTATCACCTCACACACCTCTTCTTTCCGAAATTTATTTTCCACATACGGACTTCGGACCTTTTCCATTCAACGCAGAACTGTCATACAGAACCAGGGGTGTGGGGAGATTTTTTCAATTATTTTTTCGATTTAACGCACCGTTTCCGAGTTATACGGCCTTTTTACTATAACACGACATACCTCTTGTTTCCAGAATTTATTTTCGACATACGGACTTCGGACCTTTTGCATTCAACGCAGAAGGAACATACAGAACCCGGGAGGGAGGGGTTGACATTTTTCAATTATTTTTTCGATTCAACGCACCGTTTCCGAGTTATAAACACTTTTTTATCCTATGACGTCACACACCGTTGGTCCCGATTTTTTTTTGACATGCGGGTTTTGACGTTTTTCACTCGTTCACAATGGGAGATTTACTTGTTCACCATGGGAGATTTTTTGATACTTAAGAGTCTAAGCAAATACTGTTTTTTTTTCNAGAATCTAACTTCTTTCTTTTCTGATCATCTATATGTGCATATGCTTTACATCCAAATATTCTAGCATGCTTTAAGGTTGGTTTCTTATTATTCCATAATTCTTCTGGTGTTTTCTCTATAGATTTACTGGGCAAGCGATTAATTAAATAGACTGATGTGTATACAGCTTCTGCCCAAAAAACATTTGGTAGGCAAGCTTCGATTAGAAGACATCGAGCCTTCTCTATAATCGTTCGATTAAGCCTTTCTGCCTTGCCATTTTGCTCAGGGGTATATGGACAGGTAAGCTGATGTTGTATGCCTGCAGTCTCGAGTAAATTCTTCAGTTCGGCTCCACAATATTCGCCCCCATTGTCGGTTCGTAGACATTTTATTTTCTGACCGGTTTGATTTTCAACAAAACTTTTATAAATCTTAAAACATTCTATAACTTTACTTTTGTTTTTCAAAAAATAGACGGTTGTATGATGACTATAATCGTCAAGGAAGGTAAGCATATATTGCGAACCAGATAGAGATTTCTCTTGCATCGGTCCACATAAATCCGAATGCACCAGCTCCAAGACTTGCGAAGATCTAGTCTCACTTGCATGAAATGGTAAACGATGACTTTTTCCCAGCATACAAGTTTCACATACAAAATTCGGTTGAAAATTGTCTGAAAAGTCTACTCCATTCATCACTAACAGTCAGACCTATACTTGATAATTTATGTGCGGTGGTAATGATTGTATTTACATATTTTTCTACAGAATTACTATTTTCCAACGTAGTAGTTATTAAAACACGCAATAAACCAACACGTCTTGTAAGGCCTGAATCCTGAAAAGCAGCTTCCAAGTTATCCCATGCTTCTTTGGCAGTTTTTGTACTTTGGACATGGACATAATTTAGTGGATCAACAAGTAATATAATTTTCGACCTGGCTTTAATTATTTTTTTATTGTCAGTTTCTGTACCTAGCACTGAATCCCACAGTTCTTCATGTTCCAAATACGTCTGTACAGCGAATTTCCATGAGTCGTAGTTTTCACGGCCCTTGAGCTTTTCAATCGGCGGCAACTGATACGACATTTTTCCGTGTACAAGAACTTATGATGANAAAGTGTACAAAAGAAATCCGTAAGTACGCCTGGCAACATTACCAAAGTCTTGTTTATATGTTGCTAGGATACGCTTAGGTATGCGGGCCGCTGTATTTGATTCTTCCTAAAATTCTGCTGGTGGTGTACTCTACCGGCAATTCGGAAATTTAAAACTGCTGGCCTATTCCAGGAGCGGTCTGTGGCGATAGCTATTTTGTCTGTGCTTCGAACAACAATCCGAAAAATACTAACGGTTTCGTGTGTCTTTCCAATCCACATCCCCTCTCCATCTGTATGGTACCCACACTTTTTGCTACCACAAATCTAAATAGAAAAGTGTTTTTTTAGCTGGTACCACTGAAATGGTTATAAGACAAGGACTAACTTCCAACCAACCCGCAGTGGATGTGTTAAAACACCCCATGGCACATTTCGGTTTGCGGAAACAATTAGAACACGTTGTGCCCATAAAACAAGGCTTCTACATCAGACTGAGGGGACATTTTGGGCCTCAATCGCTATTGGCAATAGTTTTTGCTGCTTTCAACTACAAAGGTATCAAAAACAAAATCAAACTGTTTATATTTTAACAGCTCACAACGCTTCCAGATTGTTTTGCTGGATCAGACTTTCTCTGCCAGAATATGAGATGTATTTCAGTTCTTTTGAATTGTGACGGATTCGATCACTGCGGTGATAACAGTGATGAGACTGTGGACTGTTCTTTAGGTGCGTTATGACGTACAACTTGCAGCGAAATGCGATTTGACTATGTTTTCTTTTAGATCCTAAAGACCATCGGGAATTTTCAAGGATACCCAATTTTCTTTTTCCGAAAATGGAACCATATTCGGATATAACGACAGCCACGTTTGTTTTCTTAAGCTGCAGTTTTGGTAATATCTGTCTATTTTTATAACCGAGGCATTCTTTGTTAGAAAGGCAACCCCTACGTCCAAAAATTGAATCAACCTAGGAAATTCGTCACCAACTCATTTTCATTTGTAGTTTATGCGTTAGCAGCGGTCGCGGAGGGTTGATTTGGGCGGTTGAAAAGTTATGAAAAATTGTATCATTGGGATTTCTGGCGAAAGTTGACGTCAAACAAAAAAGTATCCAATACAGAAGTAGATCATGCAAAAATTTACAACTTTTGTAGAGGTCACTTTTTAAGATAACCTCAAAATTTCCGAGAAAAATGCGAAAAACAAGTGTTTTTCTGATTTTTCGTTTTTAATTTCTCATTTCCACAAAAATAATTTTATTTTGACGAAACTTGGTGAAAGTATGCCGTTCTGTGTCTTAAATAACCGCAATTTTTTTTAAATAAAAAAAGTTTCCGAGATATTCATTTTTACCGATCTGAAACACTTTTTTAGGATTACAATAGTATATCATCTAATTTAGAATTGAAAATGACCTTAGATTTTGTCATAAAAATAACAGCGACGTATTTAAAAAGTTAACCTGTTGATGGCCCCTCGAAGACGAAACGTCGGATTGCAAAAATGTTGACGCCATTGTATAGAGCGAAAAAAGTGGCATTGTAAATATGCAATTTATTTTAAAATTCGTTTTCAAATAAAGCCCAAAAAAAATTAAACAGAACTACCAGAAATTTTAAAACTTTCTAAACGGCATATTGTTAGGTATGAGCTCTCTTATGTTTCCTAGATCCTAATGCTATCCCATCCTTATCTTCGACACACATCAAAATTTTTTAAAAAATGAGTACACTAATCGATCCTACGGAAAAAATTATTATTTATTTTATTTATTCACTATTCGACTTGTATGTTTATAGCAATACTGTACAAAAATAAAGTTTTAGGTCAAACAATGAGTCAGTTTTTTTGTATTTTTTCCGTTCAATTGAATGGCGTAATCAGTTTTTGATTTTTTTAAAATTTAAACGAATTATCAACAATTACTGAAAAATTCATTGTTGCGTCATTTTTTATATTTTTTTGCATTTTTAGCATGTTTTTGAACTGTGATTTCAGATTTTTTTATTTCATTAAAAAGTATATGTCAAAACGAAAAAAATTGTTACCGGCAGAACTCTGTACGAAGATTTTTCTAAGCAGAATTTTTCTTTGAAAAAAAGTGTTTCTGGCCGGAAAAAATGAATATCTCGGAAACTTCATGATTTTTTTATCTAAAAAAATTTGCGGTTATTTAAGACACAGAAAGGTATACTTTCACCAAGTTTCATCAAAATAAAATTATTTTTGCGCAAATGAAAAATAAAAAACGAAAAATAAGAAGAAACTGCTTTTCGTATTTTTCTCGGAAATCTTAAAAAGTGACCTGTACAAAAGTTGTAGATTTTTGCACGTTCTACCACTTTTGAATAGGATACTTTGTTGACGTTAACATTCGCCAGAAATCCCAATGATACAATTTTTCACAACTTTTCAACCCCTCAAATCAACCCTCCGCCACCCCTGCTCACGCATTTATTTTTTGTTTATTATAAAAGCCCAGGTAAAAATTTTCTTTTTTCCCCCCCTCTAAATGAGTTATTTCGATCGGTCTAATATAGCTACAAAATGAACCGGAGAAGAATTTCCTCCAGAATTGCTTCCATTTTCGGACAAAGAGTTGTGACCTTTTTGGAAAAGAATCTCCCAACTGTATTTTACTTGCTTCTGTCACTTTTATTTCTGAACTATTGTGATGGTTATAAAGAACTTCTGTTGACAGGTTTGATAGGTATAATATTAGCGATGGCCTTAATGCTGCACAGGGTAAATGTTCGTGCGCATCAACAGAGACAGATTCAGGACCATTTGGAAACGATACATGCTATTTTAGGTATTTACTCAAGACTTTTGCTTAGTTTGAAATATTTAAATTCTTTTGTACAGTTTGCGGATATTCTAGAAAATGGCGAATGCGCCAGTAAATTCCTGTTCCGTTCAATTTTTCTTTGTAATGAAAAGTTTAAATAGACAGCATGAATTTTATATGTGTACCGTTAAACAGGGTTACTTTGTAATGGTTTAAGGGCATTTTTAACTGTAACTAATTAATTTTTACCTATTTAAGTGTAAAAAAATACCGGTGTACGGACCTTTAGATTCTTTACAACTATTATAGAAGTGATTCACATTTATATTTTGAAGTCCTGAAAAAAAAACTTGAAAAAATACTTAACACAGGGTGAATAAAGTGAAGATATTAACTGTAGTACCTGCTGTTTAAATAGTATATTAAACAACAAGGTTTGAAAACGACTCTTTGCACACGAGCGAGACATATTGGTGGACCGAGCCGAAGGCGAGGTCCACAAGTCGAGCGAGTGTGCAAAGAGGTTTTCAAACGAGTTTTTTACGATACTTTCTATACGACCACAAAAATCAAATTTTAATTTAAATCGTTTTTATTACTAAAATTGCCAACGCATTAACAAAATAAATTAAATACAACTTTTAATTTAACAAGTTTTTATTAAGAAAATTGCTAACGCGTTAACCACAAAACATATAATACAAGAAGGTCGTTTTCTTAATACCAAAATCGAAACACCACTGACATTAAAAGACAACAACTGGCTCCCTCACTGTGTCTGGCCGCCCAAAAAAATGGAACTAAAGATAGCCGAGACGATAATGATGATTACTTTATTATCTACCGCCGGTAAAACAGATGCCAATTTGCGCGGGCTTCTGAAAATACATTCTAAGGGTCGTATATGACACTATACTAAAATTAGAACTAATTTCAGTAATTAATTAAGAACTTTTTAATCAGGCATAGTATCATCCACAAATTGCAACAAAAATGTTGCAGTTTCTGTATGATACTATGCAAGATTAAAAAGTTCTTAGTTAATTACTGAAATTAGTTATAATTTTAGCATAGTGTCATACGACCCTAATACTACTTCCTTTTAATATTAAAAAATATATACGATATTACGATTTATAATGGTAAAATCGTATTTTACTCGTTTAAATAAACATAAAAAAAACTGCAAAATTTATAAAACAGTATTTATTAGCAATTTTAATGTGGTTATTAA